ACAAAATAACATACAATTATACTGTGAAGCTTTATTAATAAGCAAAACGAAAATTTCTTTATGTTTTTATTCCTACAACAATTTACTTTCAACCTACTTTTATTCAAAGACATAGCGAGTTTCTATTTTAATATTATAATTATATATTAATACTAGAGCAACTTGACTGTTTTCTCGGTCAACTTTGCTGCCTTAAGTAGGACTTAAAACTAGTCCTTCTGCAGTCTATCTTAAGTAAAACTAGCGAGATAAAAAGAGACAGCACAATCTTAGAAAATAAGTTACAAATATTTGACATAACCATTTTACTTTTAAATGGTATTATATTTTGCCTCTCTTTACTTCATTGTAAATATATTACTCGTGTCAAATTACTGCGCAGAGTAAAAACACATATCTATATATTTAACAATATCCTTTTAATATAAAACAGTCAAGTTATGTACAAAAAAAATGATAGGATTTTTACCGACTAGAAGAAAAAGATAAAAGTAGTTTTTTTTCGTATGGTAATATATCTCTCAACAAATTACAAATAGACCACGAAAATGTGACCTTTTGCTGAACAATATTATAAAAATGTATGTACAAATCGCTGATTTTGTCAAGACATCCATCATAAAACATCGTTTATTTCATACTCTTAATAGTTCTATATCTTATTTGGATATGGAGAAAAAACTGAAATTACTGTCCAAAAACTTCTTTTCTTTTGTGTAAATAGCCCGTTATCAAAAATAATTCATTTGTACTGTAATTTAAAATCAAACGAGCGAGCCTTCCAATAATCGCATATGATGTGTAACATCTCTGGAGGAACGAGGGTTATTTCCAGGTGTCTCCAACAAAAGACACGATCCTCGGAAGAGGACACTTTTCGACGCGGAAACTTTAATTGCGTGATGCAGGATTAGCAGTTACTCCGTAGTCCGGTTTGTCTTCCTAGATATATATTTCTGTTTGGCTATATGTGAAGGTCGCCACACACTTGACATCACACTCATCTGTCTCAAATCCAATAACGGGCGCTTCTCAGGCTTCATGTTACACAATTCCGTCCCTTTTCACGAAATTACTCTCACAGATTGAAAGAGTGCTCAACCGGGGACAAGAATATGGAGTGAAACCACCCCTATTCATCCCGCGGGTGTCGTAAGAACCGACTAAAGGAGCAACAGCACGGCATGGACAACTTGACACAAACCCTATACCAATCCGTCTGGCCAGTGTGGTATAAACCTTCTTCTAAGAAGCCCATAAAAAACAGTAGACTCTAATGGGCTGTTAATGAAAGCAAAAGGAAAGATGTTACACATCAATAATAATATGTAATAATTTTAACGAATAACAATATGGACAATAATATATAGATTTTCCTCCACATCAAAATTATAAACAAGCGATTGCTTGATAATAATCATAGATTTATAAGAAATAGATGAGAACCGAACATATATTACAAAACAATCTTGGTATAACTCATGGTTTATCGATCTAACAACTTATAAATCCATGATGATAAATCTCCTTAGTTCTTTTTATTTGGAATACAGTGAGCGTAAAAAAACTGTATTAACACGTCAAAGTATTAGATATTATTATATCTCGTCTTGTTATACTGCTATACTAAGATTTATCTAACAACATTCCTTACTGCTGCTTCAAAGAGATTGATCAGTGACATTATATAGATCAAAATATATCTTCTTTTATGATTATGATACATCACAAGCTTTTACCTCATAGGATCCTGAATGTATTTCAGTAGCATGTCATGTGCATCATATACATTTTACTATTAATTATACTATTGTAAGGGTATTTTAAGCCCGCGAAGGAACACACCATACTATTATTTAACACTTTTATACATACTCTCACTGTACACTGTGTTCTTCATTTTACAACTTTTTTCATGATTTTTATAAAAATCAATGAGAATTTTGTAGAAAAAGTAAAGAAAGAAAAGTAAGTTGTTTTGACAATCCTACATATTGTACTAGTACTGTATAACTGACTAAGTTAATCTGAGAATATAACAGAGAGTATATGTAGTGTTTAAAAGAATTCCTTATTTATCACAAAATTGAATAAATAAATAAATACATGCAGAACATAATCGGCATCGTTGCACAACAATGTGTATTGTAAACGACACCACCGAACCACACCATTGGGGTGTCGTTTACAATTTTTTTGTTGTAACGACACCACTGGTGATGAGTGATGTATAACGTGAAATAAAACATTTCGTTGTGTTAATTTTTGATGATAATGTTGAAATTGGTCTCATTCACAAGGGATTCGTAAAACATAATAATTGTATCCATTACAACATAAAACAACGAAATTAATTTATAATTTTGATTCGATATTAATAATATTATACATTAACTTTTTTTTTTTCACCGTGTCTTTGCTTCACTTGATCTGCTATCTTTAAAGCCTTCTTAAAAAAAAGAAACTTCTTAAAAAGCCTTTTTAAAATTATCATATTATATGAAAATAAATAAGACGAATGAAAAATAAATGAAGTTGAAGATTGAATTTTTGTGTTACAACTTCATTACAGTGGTGTCGTGTCGTCGTTACCAAAAAAAATTTGCAAATGACACAGCAGTGGTGTAGTTCAGTGGTCACGCTTCTTGCTTAATTGAAATCGTGGCCATTGCGCAGGTCTAGAACATAAAAACGGGCTTGTGCTTTTATACCATTTTAGTAGCGCAGAACACAAATGGTTTAAAGAGTAAAAATATTGATTTGTTGTTAAAACATCATTTATGTTTATAAAATTTCCAATTAAAAATGACATAAAGCACGAATTAGCATTTTTTAATCTATCTGCATAAGTAAACTCGAAAAGAAGAAACACACTAGTACAACATGTTTTGATTAACTGTTTGTTAACAAACTTATGGAGTTACTGTATGAATAATTTGTCACCAACAGTCTTTTCTTTTAACACCATGGTTATAACAATTGCTCATTTCAGTTATTCGCTAAAACATTCTCAAGATACAAAGAACAGAACTTCCACTGTGCTATACAAAATATATTGGCATACCTTGTGTCGTATACAGCACTGCAAAGAGAAGGCAAACTTGACACAAACCCTATCCAACCCGTCTGGCCAGCGTAGTATAGTAGGCCAAACCTCCTTTCTAAGGAGAGGTCTATATCCAGCAGTGGACTATTAAAGGATGATTTAGACTCATACACACTGCACTGTAACTTTATTCTTCGGTTCATCTAATGGCGTGACATTTTAAAACGTGGTGCATAAATATTATCTCATTTATCAATGTCCACTACATAATTTGTTTTTTATAAAATGGGTGGCTTTGTTTTTTATATAGTGAAGAATACGGAGTGTCACTCTGCCTATTAATCCTATGGGCGTTGTAAGAGCCGACTTGGGGAGCAAACTACGCAGGACAACCTCACTGCCAAGGGAAGGAAAACTATCTAAGAAGCAGTAGACTATTAAAGGCTAAATGATGATGATGTGACATAAATGATGGTGATGATTTATGCCTATTTGGGCGACTACAATTAAAAATCTTTAAAAAATAATAATTGAATGAAGATAAATAGTCATGTAAAAATTATATGTGAAATGAAAAAGAAACGAACTAAGTTAGTCGATTTCTTCAAAGTTTGCGTCTAACAATGCCAGCGTTCTTCGAAACATTCTCAATTAGTCTACATCTGAATCAATCAATTTATCCCTTATTTACTTAACTTTAATTTTTTAATGGACCCGTGGATATACTCCACAACACAGAAATCTGTAAGCCTAAACGTATTGTGTTAGGACAAAATTAATCTCTCAGATTTAGCCATTCCCATGCAACCCAGTCTACATGATAAACGTAATGTAAAATATTTAATATTTACATGTCTAATTCGAAGTAATTTTCAATGAATTTGTGTATAGCACAGTCGTTATACTGTTTGGATTTCATTTTACAATAAGACCTCGTAAATACATTTGGACGTAGCATTTATACAAAATTTTGAAACGTTTCAAGGGTTAGTTTACTGAACTTACAAAGAACGTACCGAAAGACCAGGAGGCCAAATCTGTTCCGATCAACTCTCGATCTCGCAACTGTCATAAATGGTATTTTTGTTGTATAATAGTAAAGTATTACTAAAACTATCAGATTTAATTTTCGTTTATAATAGCATATAATCACATTACAATTAACGTTGGATGTTTAATACTTTACGACAAAAATATATTTTATGACAGTTGTGAGATCGAGGGTTGATTGGAACTGAACTGTGACCGAACTTTTATTACGAGGATTGGCCTTCAGGTTTTTTTACGATATCATATTGTATTATTATGATTCAATGAAATATCAGTTTGGTTCGATATAAAGATGGCCATATTTAAAATAGCTTCTAATTTCTGAATTAACAGGCATTATTTTTTAGAAGCTTTTTTTATGTTGTCCCAGTATACCATTATTCATCTCGGTTAAACTTATATGTCTGAGTTTGCGTTCGCAATTTTTTTCATTATAATCTGATCATCATAAATCAAATAAAATATTTCAGGAAATTTAGTATCAGAAGTAACACCCGCCTCATTTCTATAGTAAAATATCTTGTGAACTGCATCATAATTAAGTCTCTTTTACGACTACAATTTATGTCTTTTCCATGGTTAGCATGCTTCTAATGTGGACCATATTTGCTCCGCTAAAACTAGTGAAGTAAAGGTTGGATTTCATTGTACTAAAGGTATCTTTTCTAGCATGCATTTGTGGCCCAGCCGACAAGTCTTTTGAAAATAAAACGATATTTCCTTTCTATTGCAACTCTTAATGAATTAAACACTTTTTATACATACAGATATAACACATAATAATATTTTGCATAAACGCTTTATAATGTTAACTATTGTAAAATGAAACCCATTCTCCAAACAAGTAAACTAAAGACACAAATAGTCTTTTACACAGTTCGAACCCACTAATCACTAGCACACATCACCAGAACCTCTGTCTCGGGCCCATCCACCTGTTGGGAGGCCTCGGGCCATTTCTAGGCCACTGATGTTGGGGCGCGAAACCCTGAGGTCTATAATTAGTCCGCGGGGCCCAATTCCGTGGGAACCGGGGGTTCATGAACCTCGGTTGTTGCTGCCAATCATGCTCGGGGAACTCCTCGAACGGTGGAGATGGGTTTCTAGTCTCCTGCATTACTTTATCGAGTCCTCGATTTCTTAAATCTTCGTCGTAACTCTGTTGAGGCTCCGTTTCGGTACCTTCAAATGATTTTCGGTAGGCAGGAGGTCTGACAGACATATTGAAGTTTTTGAGTGAGGGAGGCATGACATCGAATGGGTTGACCATGGGAGGTATGATGGGAGCTGAAATTGGTTCTTTCTTCTCACTGTGGATTTGTATGAGATTGGTGTGGTTTGTATCATTGTGTGTTTTCTTGCCGTTGTCTCCCCCAACGAGCACTTTGTTGTTATTGTTGAAGCTGTGTCGCCTGGAGTGCTCCGGTTGGCTCGACTGTTGATTGGGGTACATTCCTTCTGAAAAAAATTTGATGGTTAATGGGGGAAATGCGCAAAGCCCAAAACAAACTAAATATGTTACCCAACAATTTATTTCAATATGTCTTGCAAGTTCGTATTGTATCTTGAAATGAGACTAGTGTAAATCAAATAATTGAAAAGAAAACTTCACTCCTCTTCTCAGTCTATGAGAAATATCTCCTTCATTATATATTACATATAGTAACATCGCAACAAGGAACCTTATTATGAGCGTTATATTATGAAAAATGGAAAATAGAAACATACAGATTATACCGTGAACTGCCGTACTATATTAGTTTTATTACACATTAATATAAGAAATGAAAGAGGAGAACAAAAATCCCATTGCATGAATTGTGTTGGTAGTTCCGTTATGTATTTAAGACAGTCGTAGAGCTGTTACGTAACTGCCTCCCCCCACACATTTAGAAACTGGCCAATTGATAACTAGAACAGGAATCACAACTTTAGAACAACAACAAAAAAGTAATTTGTGATAATCTTACGTTGTTCTTCATCTTCAGACAAATCCATATCAACGCTTTCCACGATGTCAGTGACTGGAGGCACCATGGCAGGCACTCTATAATCCTGCGAAAAGGTAACGTGAATTTATATAACGACGTCCCTACGAAAGACTCAAAAGCAGATAATGTAATAATAATATCTCCTTGACACGGCCCATATAGTGAGGAAATTCTTATCTTTGGTGTCCTTACCACCGGTGTCTTGGTCCCTGTACCCGATGTCGATGGTCTACAATTTTTTATACTTTTAAATATCTATTTTTTTTTATAAGTGTATGTTTAAAAATATATTTATATGTATACACACTCACACTATTACTACTATTTATTAATAGTAAAAGCCGTGCGCTGCGCTGCTTTTTTTTTTTTTTACTGTTTCTGTTTATTTATCTTCGGTCTTTATTTCATTCTCCTACTAATATTGATTACTCATACAGCGCATAAAAACAAAAAATAACAGGTAAATAATAATTTATTAGGCCAATTTACTTTTTCAAAAAAATTATAACATACCTACTGCTGTATCCTACTGTGATTGCGTTGATGAGGAATTGATGCGAAAATGGATAAAAACAATATTTGAAGTGGTTTGTAAATCGTGACAAAATTTGAGCTCAATCAATGCAGAACTTTGAGTTTTTGAAGCGTATACAAACTGACTTAACATGTTTATATATTTAGATTATATATAATTAATAGAACTTACTTGATCTAAATTGATAATGGGTGTATTCATAGTGTTCACGACTGGCCTGGGAGGTGGCTGATGCGTTAATGCTATTAGATTTCTATGATCTACATCTGAAAATAACACACATTTTATTTAGAAGCTCATTAATTCATGTACAAGTAATTTAGAGAGACATGTTGTTTCTTTTTGTATTATTATTGGTTATGTGATCACCGGTTGATCATGTAAGTATTCACACCAAGAGTTACACAAGATCCGCAAAGAACTGCTTACAAGTTTAGATATAAAACTATTTTTTTGGTTCACTTTTTGAAGCTCATGCTAATTACTTCAGTCGATGTAGTCTATCAGCTGAGAAAAGCGTCGATATACAACCTTCATATCTAAATATCCCACAATGACCCGATGCATTTAATGTGGCAGTAGTTGTGCCACATTGCGTGATTGGAAGCCAAAAATAGACCAATATGTGGGACATGTGGGTGTTATATACCTTTGCCTGTCCTTTCGGGACTACAGGCGTCTGTGTGGATGTATGTAATGATTTGTAAAGACGTGGCATGGATGCAACCCAAGAAATTATGTGGTAATTGATCCTGATTATCTTATCTGGATGCGTTCGAGAGAAGAACTATAACCATAGAGATTATAGAGGGAGTGGACTGTATATTTATCTGTAAGTGGTAGCATACGGCCGTTAGACAAAGAAAGAACATTGTTTTGGTCTTGCATCTCTCTCTCCCCTCTGCACTGATTGGCTTAAAATAGCCAATCAGTGACAAGAGCAGAGAGAGATGCAAGATCAGAATAATCTTCTTTCTCGCACTGCCAACCGTATGAGATAGCGCTTTGTTCACTTCCCCTATATTTATAAGGTCTTTGACTATAACAGGTATAAACTACGTCGTTTTAGATAGTAAATTCAACCTTAAGCTCTACCTTAAAATCTATTTATCTAATTATGATGGTAAAGAAGAATGTAAAAGAAAGAGTAATTCCTAAGTTATGAGTTTTCAAACATGTATGTCGACTACCGTACTCTCAAAACTCGTCTGAGATGCTACAGGCTATTATGAGTACATAAAATTCTACACTATCCTTTATATGCATGTGCATATTGTTCATTAAGCTACTTAATAAAAGCTACATTATTTAATGACCAAATTGAAAAATCTTACTAATTTCCATATTAAGTAAATCTGGAAAAAATTAGAAGAACATCAAGAAAGAAGAACGTCTTTAAATGAAAGTCTTCCTGTGCTATTAGCTAGTCGCTTAAATTTTTTGAGTTTGATACCCAAACCACGATTAAAATTACTCATATAATTTTACATCCTAAAGACTTATTGCCATAGATAGCAATAGCATAGATAGCGATAGCTCGCTAAATCGACAGGATTCGTGTTATAACAGTTTTTCACTTCTGGAGCATCTTTTACTATTAAAAAAGGAGATAGAACTGAATTCTCACATACCTTGATGTACAGGAGGATGTCGTATAGGTGTTGAAGTAACAACAGGCGGGGGCGGTGGAGGCAGAGTCGGTAGCAGCCTGTGGTCTACATCTTCTAAATCTGCAATTGACAATATTGATCATTATGAAGCAAGTCAAACATACAGCTACAAGTATCTACATATTTTAATAATCTTCAGCGTAAGAAAAAGAGCTAATAAACACAGCAATGTTAACAAATTACAGAACTGCTCGTTTTAGAACTAATAAAAATTAATAACAAACGTAATTGCAGTTAAAAAAGTAGCAAAGAAAGTTAATTTGAATTTTCTCGCTAAAACATGGCATTTGATTACGTCGCTAACCGGTTAACTGACAGTTGTCCAGAGCATATTTAAATAAAAAGTATGATGCCAACTGACAGCTGTTAGCATGTTCATCACTTAATAAAGTATTGGATCTGATTGTGTTTGGAGTCAAGTGACAATAGTTGCTATCTTAGCCCTTTGAACAAAAAAAAAGTGTTTTGCAAGGTTTTAATATCACATTAATAATTTAGTGGCAACGAAACAAACACTTATGATTAACGTTATCCTCAGAGGTCCTAGTGCGAGGTTATTTCACATCTTTGCGACAGTCACGGTGAGCGCGTTTAGCGTTGCGATCGGCCCACACTGAATATTCACCAATCACAACGCCAAAAGCTCGCTGTCGAAAGCGAGTAGAAGTCAAATAAACTTACACTAGGACCAGTATTCAGCCATATCTTTTTCGTGAAACATTTAATAATATTACATTAAATTGCTGCATTTCCTACTTATATGTTTGATGCATGCCGTGGCAGCCTTTAATTTTGAAATGTAACATATGGTAACTTTAACATGTATTTTGGTGTATTCTTTATTGGATGTCCTTAAATAAATAAAAAATCACTTAGAATACAGTGAAAACATTGTGACTGTCAGATTGTGTTTACGTTTTTTCGGGACAATATGCGAAATCGACAGCCACGAGGCTGTTAAAACATATTCCCTACTTTTACCGATTCTGTTAGGCCGCTCAATACAGAACACAATACAGTATTGGTAAAATGAGAAAAATATTTTATAAATGAGAAGAATCTTGTAATCATAGTGATTTTACTCACGTGTAGCGATCGGAGAGGGCCCGACTTCTTGCGGACTCAAATCGGATCCTTATTCATGAGCAGTGCATAAAGTGTACATAAGAATATAAACATTTTAATGTTCAAAAACTATTATTACATATTCTACTGAGTTGGTACATTAAAATTAAAATGGAGTAAAACTAAAAAAAAACTATTTTTATTTTGCATAGCATCAGAATACACTGTATTTTTTTTTTGTAAAGGGTCAGTCAGAATATATTTATATTTGACCGAACCATACCGATGCACGACAGTTACAAAAGCTTTACAGTAAGTCGAGGCAGTATTTGAGGCTGTAGTCATGTGTAACATTGCATTAGGGTTTCAGCTTTTTCTTTTTAGTACATCAAAACTAGACATTATAATTATCAAGTTGTTACATACCATATGTGGGTACCTCATTATACTTATACTAACATTACTTTGTGAGCAAATTGTTTTTAACAAAATATGGAACATTTTTCGAATTAAATGATTTTATTATAGTTGCAACACTTATTAATGATAAATGAATATGTTCATTCGCACCTGCGTAGGTCTATGAAACACAAAAATATTTTGCAAAAAATAATTTAGTCCCATTCACATAACAGGAGGCAAATTTACTACCTTGAACTAAGAACTTTGGGAATGAAAGATTGGAAAAATCGAAAGATTGAAAAGTAAAACAAAACTGTAGGTAAGAACGAATCGGGGCTTCAATAACCTCACTCACTCGGTGTAAAGTAACCTTTTTTTTAAATATTTTTGGACATCTAACACACAACGCTATCTAGTTGCAAACTATTTGTTCTATGAAAGCTATATTGACTGATAGAATAAATACGTACTTTTTTTTGTAAATACATACATATTATACACAGAAAACACCCAAACTTTGAAACATATATTTAGAGATCGAAACCGAGACCTCAGCACAGCAGTCGCATACTCTACCACTGCACCACCAAAGCAGTCTAATTGGTATCACTCCAATCGAGCTGGCCTATTTGTGCCGAAACATAACTCTTCCACAGTATCCGTAACTAGAATTGAATGTTTCCGAGAAAGTCGAGTCCTCCAATGTAATTATTAATCAATTAGACATTAGTCCACTTCTGGACGCAAGAATCTCCTCATCAGACTCATAAGATATTATTAATACTTACGTCCTAGAATTGGTAACGCAGGAGGAGGTGGGGGCGGTGGAAGTATTCCCCTGTGGTCCACATCTGAAGGAGGTATTTCCTGAAAATAATTATAATCATACGGTAAGTAGTGGATTACTTATTCGTTCAATTCAGTCGCACAGACGCACTGCGAAAGCAGCTTATCAATGACAGCGGTTTCTTTTATTTTTATAGTTTCTTTTTCTGTTCACAAATTGTTGTTCTGAGTATGCATGTGCCTTGTATTCGTTACATGCGCGTTGTAAAGTCCCCTGCGATACAGGATATATCTGCTAGCTAGTCTTTAATAGGTCTACCTATGAAGTTGGAGATTTTTAAAACCGGCATTTTCAGATTTTATTTAATTGTGGATTGGCGGGCAAGCAGAAATTCAAATAAATTTTATTCGAAAGCCGCGTTATTTTAATTTAAAATTCATTCATTTGTTTTAGATAGTATTTTGTTTTTGTAAAAGTGTGGTAGTTTTTGGCGCCGTGGATAAACTGAAAATTCGTACAATTTTCAAATATGAGTTCTTATGTGAAAATACCGCTGCGCAAACAACACGAGACATTAGCGACGTATACGGGCCTAACACTGTTTGCATAAACACGGTCTATTATTATGTTCAATCGTTTTAAATTTGGAAATTTTGAGTCGAACAACGAGCCTCGCGGTCGGCTTTGAAGGCGATAGTAGAAGCGGATCGAACTCAAACTACGACAGAGCTTGCTGCGGGTTGTGGAGTTAGTGTCAAAACAATACTGAACTACTTGCGTCAAATCGGAAAGATAAAAAAACTTGGTAAGTGGGTGCCACACAATCAGAGCGACGACCAGCGAGACTTAAGCATCGAAGTATGCATAGCACTACTGGATCGGCATAGAAACGATGGAATTCTGAATCGAATTGTTGCTTGAGATGAAAAGTTAATCCTGTACGACAACCGAGAGCGTTCGTCTCAGTGGGTGGACCCGGGTACAGCACCTAATCAGTGAACTAATATAGATTATCAATAGGAAGACGATGGTGACTGTCTGGTGGACCAGTGGCGGACTTGTACATCATAGCTTCATTCACAATGACGGAGAAGCTCGTAATTGTACAACGACGATTGGTCAATCGCTCTTCCCGTCGCTTCGCTACGACAACGCGCGATCTCACACTTCACAACAAACTATCGCAAAGCTATAAGAGTTACAGCTCTCCGTCACCCACCGTACACATCGGACCTCGCCCCGACAAATTTCTACTTATTTCAAATTTAGACAATTTTTCAAGATGGAAATCTCAACACTCGAGAGGCAGTACAAAACGCTTTCGCTGACTTCATCGTCTCCCATCCAGCAGACTTGTACAGTAAAGGTATAAACAAACTGCCGCTAAAATAAAATCATGCAAATCTCCAAGTTCATAGGTAAAGAGGTAACGTTATTGCAATAAGTGTATAGGATAGAAGGTAGACGCAGCGCAGTGGGCGCCATCACCTGCGGGTAGGTGAGCAGCGGCGGCGGCACGGGCGCGGGCGCGGGGGCGGGCGGGGGCGCGGGCGGGGGCGACTCGGGCGTGTCCACGTACGCGCCCACCCCACCCAGGTGCTGCGGACATACCGCGACACGTCACTACCTTCACTCAGCTATCTTTGTGTATTGTGACGCAATAAAACACGTGCAAACCTTTTATTACTCAAATAACACTATGGTAAAAGTATTCACTAACAATAATAATGACGTTTGTTATCGAACTCCTCCGAACCGATTTTTATGATTTTTTGTGTATATTTGGTAGGTCTGAGAATAGGTCGTAAGCTATTTTTTATACTTCTAGATGGTAAGGGTCACCCTCCCCTATTTAATTTTTATTGTAAAAATGTCAATTAAATTAATAAAGTACATTGAATTAAGAAAATGAATGGTTACCTATTATTTTGTTATTTTTATAACGTCACCGGCCACAGTGCCCTATTCGTCTTTCGTCATAGACCCTATCCCCACATACTTACAATATGTTGGATGTTGTATGTAAATTGGAAAATAAGATAATGATATGAATACAAAGCATGAATTTTGACAATTATGAGAGAACTAGAGTGACTATAATTAAATTAAACTTACTTGACTGACAAGTGAATTTACAGGAGGAGCATTCCAATTACTGCTCCAAGGACTGGTTGTTTCGGGAATGTATGGAGGGTCTGGATCATCTGCAACTTTAAAAATATATTAAAAATGCATGTATAAGAAAAATATAAACATATCAACGATTAATAATCGTGTATATGTATGTTAATTTAATTAATTATGTATTATACTTAATAAAATATTGTGAGAAATTCTCAACAGGGACATATAGGAACCTGGAGGTATTTTTACCTGAGACTACAGAAATTTATATGCCCTCAACCTTTCTAAAGTCTACCAATCTACCCTAAACCAGTGTCGTCCACTATAATTAACAATCACAAGACTTCGTGTAGGTAAATTAAAGGACGCAAACTTGTTTCCACTCTTCACTTAAACATTTGAAAAAAAAGTTTCAATAAACTTTGTATGTTCACTCTAAAAAAATGGTTAATCAAGAATGTGTTCCATGATTGGCAAAAGTATTTTCTCACAAAATAATTTGCATGCTTGTTAAATTCATTGTATCTTCCATTTTCATTTAATACAACAATTGCAATGTCCGATTAGATAACTGTTGAAACTGTACCTACTACAAAACATATTCTATATATATATATATGTAACACACTTTTTTGCAATAAATGTCTTTGTCTTTATAGTATACCTTTTCATGTTCCACTTTCCAGCGCCTGCAGGACAAAGGTGTAGGTTAAAAAAATATACTAAGATCATACCATTAATTTCCATAGTCCCGTAGAAGGAGGTCGGCGGCGGTGGATTGCCTGTACTCTCGGGCGTTAGTAAATCCAAGCCAGGTAAAGTATCCTGTGTTTTCTGAGACATCGAGGCGCCCGTTACTGAAAAGAATTTCATACATTATTGTAACAGTATTCAGTATTTCTCAGTACTTCTTGCTGCTCTTTAATTTTCTCCTCCTTCTTTATACAGAAGGTTCCTGAGCAAAAGTGTTGCTAGAATTCATGCTCTCTGAGGTCCCGTGGAAATAAAGCCTCTGCGAGGTGCGGCTACTTTGTACTTTTGACTTTCGTATATAGGTCAATAAGCCCATAAAGCAATATTATTCGTTACTAACTGGTAGCCGCGACTTTGTTCGCGTGGAATTTGTGTGGAATAGTGGTGTAGTATGGTACATATGGTGGGTAAAATTTTATAGGGTTTTTCCAAGAGGAATAATAGCCTACGTTACTCCTTATTTAGACAGCTGTGGTAGTAAAATATTATCAAAATCAGTCCAGCCGATTCGAAGATTACTCGGAACAAACAGACAGATAGATAGACAAACAAAAAATATTTAAACTGGTTTTTAGACATAGGTATCATGCAAAAAACCCTGTGAGCATGAAAAAAACCCTTATTTTGATAGTACAAACAGACACTTTATTTATTTGTATAGATTAAACAATATAGTTATGTAACTACAGAAACTACTGGTATGGGGAAGACCACGTCAAAGATCATTCCATTGGCATGTCAGCTATTTTTAATGAAATAAAAATATTAATATAAACAAATTATTAATGATACAGGGTGGCGCAATAGAACGTGCATATTGCATCATCTTTTTTCGCGGGGTAGAAAGTGCGCGGGCGGGGGGAGCCTGCATCGTTGGGTAGGCGGGCTCATGGAGTTTTAGTCACTATGAGTCACTTCGACGGGAAGCGTCGCGCATTTTGCGTGCGCGCATTTTACGAGAACTCTCGTTCATACATCGTTACTAGGCGTTTATATTGTTCTGAATATGGACTACGGCAAATTAGTAAAGCTCCGAGTGCTAATTTAATTAAAATATGGGTACAGCGTTTTGAAGAGACTGGTTCAACGTTTAAACCACAAGCAAAAGGTTGTCCAAGAACATCTAGGACCGACGACAATATTGAGAGAGTTATGCAGTCTGTACGAGGAGATCCACAAATGTCTACTCGTAAGAGATCGTCTGTCTTACACTTATCGCGACGAAGTTTGCAACGAATTTTAAACTTGGATCTTAAACTGCATCCTTACAAGCTGCAGTTAACACAAGAATTGAAAGAGTCTGACTTCGGAGCAAGGCTCGCATTTGCTAATGAAATGCTTAATCGATTTTCCAATTTTGACAATATCCTTTTCTCAGATGAGGCCCACTTCCATATCAATGGGTTCGTAAACCGTCAAAATTGTCGTTACTGGAACAGTGAGAATCCCAAACTCAAGCACCAGAAACCACTGCATAGTCCTAAAGTGACAGTATGGGCAGCAATCTCTGGTAGAGGAATAATTGGACCGTTTTTCTTTGAAAATGAGCGGGGGCAAAACGTCACTGTTAATACCGAACGCTATGTTGCGATGTTGGAAGGTTTTTTGGCTCCAGAGCTTGAAAATTCAAGAATAGTGAATTCTAGGACTTGGTTTCAACAAGACGGAGCTACCTGTCACACATCAAATGACTCCATGGCGGTTGTGAAACAGATGTTCCCTGGCAGACTGATTTCGAAAAGAGGTGATATCCCATGGCCCCCACGTAGTCCAGATGTGACGCCTCCTGACTTTTTTTTGTGGGGATACCTCAAGAACAAAGTCTACAGTAATAATCCGAAAAACAACGATCAGCTCAAGGAGAATATCCGTGGTGAAATGGCAGCAATTACACCAGCATTACTGAAGAAAGTTTTCAATAACTTCCGTTTGCGATTAGAGGAGTGTCGTCGTAGAGAGGGTCATCATTTAGACGATGTTATTTTTAAAAAATAAACTTCAGTTATTTCTTAATAATACCTCAGTTTTATTTTAACTATACCTTTTGTATTTATTTTCTAATCAATATTTTAAATATGCACGTTCTATTGCGCCACCCTGTATTAACCATTTTTTGTAAACTTGATATACAGAGAGTTATCGAGGTTCGTAACAGTAAAAAAAAATCATTCGGAATAGTTTGTATGAGTGAGGGTAAATGATCTCAAATATACGTTTTCAGATGACCAAGGCATTTTCACGGACATTTGAAATTATTACGTAATAATTAGTCCTTTATTATACCTTTGTCACCCGAGAATAAGTAACTAGCTTTGAATGGTACTAAAAACTACGGTGTTCATGCAGTTTAATTGGGAAAACAGAGTAATTATATATAGATAGAGTAATAATAAAAAATGTAAAAGAGACATTAGTACACACATCTATACTAATATTATAAAGCTGAAGAGTTTGTTTGTTTGTTTGAACGCGCTAATCTCAGGAACTACTGGTCCGATTTGAAAAATTCTTTCAGTGTTAGATAGCCCATTTATCGAGGAAGGCTATAGGCTATATATCATCACGCTAAGACTAATAGGAGCGGAGCACCAATGAAGAATGTTTCAAAAACGGAGAAAATTTATTACTACTCAGAGACGCAGACGAAGTTGCGCGGGTCAGCTAGTTATTTATATATTAAATAGCTTCCTTTGTGTAATTTTCGAATATTTCGTTATTTTTGAGGGAAAGCACATATTTGAATCAACTCTCGCAACACGAAATTCGTCAATTTAAACGAATTTGTTTTAAAATTTGAATTTAAAATTCTTCTTTAAATTCGACTAATAAAATTTTAAACCACCTATAATTTATTAAAAAATGTATTAAAAAATTTGATACTAAGGCTATTTAAGAATAGAAAAAATCTTTTATCCATATGGTGAAAATATTTATTACCTATAGAAAACACATAGTGAAGAAAAAATTAAAGGAGAAAGAATTGCAGCCAATAACTAAGTTTTAACAAAGTTTATAAATAAAAATATTCATTAAACCGATCAAAGTTAAAATAGGAAACAAGTGTAAATTTCTCTAACACTACTGAAAAAGCATAATGAATAACAGTTTGATCTGCACTATAAATAAAACATGGCAACAAGAAGCATTCACTCAAACAAAAACATTTAAAGTATAAAAACGACAATACAAAATAAACGTCCTTATTTTTTCTTTTTAATTTTCCAACCTTTAAGTTAATAATATGTAAGTGAAATTACACTGTGTAAGCCAGTCATAATAGAACTTCTAGTCTCGTCTGGTTCTATAATACGGCAATTCAATATTTCGTCTATACGCAAGCCAAATATCCCATACCAATAAGATCCCTGCTAAAAGTTCATATAATGCCCTAGTTATTTCGAGATTAAACAGAACTTCTATGCTGGTCTGACGAGTCTCAGAGAGAGCAAATGAGGAGACGCGTGAAGTGGTGGCATTAGGTATAATGATAAGTGACTACAGCCGTCCATGAACACATGCAGCTCAAGAGAGACAAGTGCATTCATTTTGATTTGCCAACTAACTGTGACAAAGATAAGAAAGCACAAAAAAATGTGACACGTAATATATGGATGCCCCTTAAATTCTTACTACTTTGAATGCAAGGTATTACAACATTTGTAACTTTAATATTGTTCATTTGGCAATCTAACGCATTACTTTCGGTTCATGAGTTAATAGAAATCTACAGGGAGTCGTTTACAATTAAAAAAAGAACATAGTGTGCAATTTGATCAGTTTTATCAAGACACAACATGACAGTCTGTAAATATGATGATTGTTCCACAATTCTTGGCCTGCACAGTATAAATCACTACATATGTCATGTAATATGAAACAAATATTCAAGTAAACTGACCTGAATTATCTGACACTGTAGTATTGTCATTGGAAATAAGAGTTTTTAAAACGTCGTTGATATTAAAGTCCTGCTTTTCGTTCGGTCTACTACTTATAACTTCTATTTTGTTGGCTGAAATTTAAATTATAAATTTACTACTTACATTTTGTGTAGGAAATTTTCTTTCTGTATTTGTTAAAGAAAAACATATTATTGAGAACGAGTTTTAAGTTGTATACAATAATATAATAATAACTTTACACATCTTACACACGGCTGTCTTATACCATACTATTTCTAAACACATAGATATTACAGATAAATTGCACCCAGACACAGAACAAATGATCATGCTCATCACACAAGTATTGGGGGTGAATCGAACCCACGACATCTGGCTTAGGCGTTAGGATCAGTAATCACTAGACCAACGGGCAACAAAATAATGAAAGACCTCGTCCCATTAAGTATTCTGTGTTCAAAAACGAAACGCATAACTCACTTACAAATGGAATAGAGAAAGTTATAAAAACATAAGAAAACTATAAGAGAACATCATGTTTGAGTATATCTTAAGAAGGGTGAAAGTTAGGTGATTGCCATGGTATACGGTCGAACAAACGGATAGTAGATCTTCTTTTAAATATATGTACATACATTATTCAGAAGTTAATAGTTTTGAGCACTGCTTACACGTAAGTATTTGTAAAACATTTGACAAAAATCTGCAACATACTCGTATACTACACACATAACACAATTTAAAACTCATTCTGCAAAAAGTGGCATAATTTGAATAATTATTTTAATTGAGTTAGCCAACTGGCATTTCATCATTGATATCAAATACATAAGGTTTCAATTCATGTTCTATAGAACTTCAGCAGTCATATACATATTATTAGGTACCTTGAAAGAGTATTGTATAAAACTCACCGCTATTGACTATCTCATTGGATTCATTGAACAATGACAATTGATTCTCTGAAGACAAGAAAGAGGATAGTCCCAAATTGTATAGAGATCCATCGGCTGCCAATGATGTGTTGAAAGTCTGGTCGATGTTGTATGCAACTGAAAAGAAAATAGTAGTTAGTGTTTGTTAGAGCAACAAGAGAATTTACTATCAGATCTGTTGGATTAGCTATTTATTGGTTATTTTTGTAGTTAGTTTTATTTGTTAGTTATTTTATTTTTTTACAACTCTCGCACTAGAAATCCTGTGTTCAGGGGACTTTACAAACATACATGAAACGGACATAAAGAACACCCAGACTTAGAACATCAATTTGTGGATCAAACAAAGTGTCCCATGTGGGTAGGGGCGTGGCGACCGCTTAAACCACATTTAAACCATCCGTGCAGTCCATTTTTTTGAATAACTTTGTGCTACAAAACTTATTCTAATGAGTTATTAAACATTTGTACTTAATAAATATCAATTTACACATTGTCTATGTGTAATATAGGTGGTAGCTTATAGGTGCAACATAATTTAACTGGACTTGTATGATTTCTGACATACTATGAGCATGTATTAGAAATGAAAAGTTACAACTCACAGGTTTTCAAGAATTATTTTCCAGTATAAAATTTACCACAAAAATTAAAATGTACAGTGAAAGTGAATGTTTTTATCTACAAATGAAGGTACTCAAATTTAACCTAAGCTACTTAGATTGCAAACTAGAATTTTTAAATCTTGTTTTTGTTCTTCTGTAAAGTGTTGTTTTTTTTTTAATTTATTTAGTTCTTTTTGTTCATTGTACAATGGCGGACTTAATGCCTCAGGCATTTTCTCCCAGTCTACCTTTAGGTGGTGGGGAAATGTCTGAGTGGGTGCAACAGGCACTAGAAATTAAGTTTTATGTGTAACAAGATAGTAATAATTTTTACTTGTATCACTTTTTACAGGAGGCATAGAAATATTAGGTCCTTACATATGAAATTAGGGTTTTGTCGTACTGACCACTTTGATCTGAAATATTTCCTTTTTGGTTAAGAATTCCAAATTGAAATTTAAAAATTCATTTAAATAGTACATTTGAGTTTTGAAAACAGTCATTCATTTGTTTTTTCCTCATTATTTTTTTCTTTGGCGTCGCTTATTACCGCTTATTACAATGGAAAACATGAAATATCAGTATATTTACGACTACGAGTTCTACCGTGGCACCAGTGCTGCAGAAACAGCTCAAAAGATTAATGATGTGTACAGCGATGGTGTCGCGAATGAAAGCAAGGTACGTTTTTTGTTTCTACGTTTTCGTTCTGGAAATTTCGACCGGCCGGAGACCAAAGTGGAAAATGAAGAATTAAAGGCTGGCAATTCCAATTAGTGGAAGCGGATCCATCATAAAGCACTTCAGAGATAGCTGCAGTCTTCGGGGTAAGTGATAAAACTGTATTAATCCACTTGAAGCAAATCGGGAAAGTAAAAAAACTTGAACGATGGGTACCTCATGAATTGAGTGAATCGAACTTGCAAACACGCTCAACCGACACAATAATGAATGTAACTTTCTTCTGTGTGTCTATGTACTGTAAACAGTGTAAATATACAGCTACCAAACTAAAGTGTGCCTATCAAGTTTATTTTTCTTTTCAAACTTCTACCCACTTGTACACGGTAAGTCACATCTTACTTACAAACTAAAAAGGGATTTTAAATCGAATCATTACTTGTGATGAAAAGTGGATAATGTACGATAATCGGAAGCGGTCGTCGCAATGGCTGTACCCTGGAGACCCACCCAAATCCTGCCCTAAACGAAAATTGACTCAGAAAAAGTTACTTGTGAGTGTTTGGTGGACTAGCGCCGGTGTCGTTTACAACAGCTTTCTAAAATCTGGCCAAACGATTACGGCAGATGTCTATTGTCAGCAACTGCAAACCAAGAAGGAAGAACTAGCTGCTAAACAACCGAGATTGGTCAATCGCTCTAGGCCACTGCTGCTTCACGACACCGCAAGACCACACACTGCACAACAAACAACCACTAATTAGATGAGCTACTATTGGAATGTCTGCGACATCCACCGTACTTCCCGGACCTTGCTCCAACAGATTACCATTTTTCCCAGAATTTGGACAACTTCTTACAAGGAAAAAAATTCAACTCTTCTCAGATTCTCAGCCCCATGGTATTTTTAGTAAGGGGATCAATGAACTACCTATCAGATGGCAAAAGTGCATAGATGACATTGGTGCATACTTTGATTATTTAAATATATTTTCCAAAAAAAAAAGACCTAATATTCCACCGGTACAAAACGCCAATTTCATATGTAAGGACCATTAGGTTTAAAAAAATAAACAATGTATATATATTAATATATACATTTTCTTATTTTTTTAATAAATATCAAATAAACATTGATCAATACAATTATTTATCAATAATCAATAAATCAAGAATAAAATAAATATCAGTAATTCAGATCATTAAACCATTTTATCGATCAACATCCAAACCCTGTCCCATCGCTATGGTTTGGTGCATTTTATGTTTGATTATGAAATTTAAAATCACAGCGCTATTGGCAACCCTTGTATATGGCCAAATTTGGTGCACTCGAATCAGAACAAATATTCAATAATGTGGAATCTATTAGGGGGTGATCTGTGAGGTAATCCTGATGGTAAGTGATTACCTTTATACATGGACACTTATGGGCCACAAGTACATAGTTGCCCATTGAGTCACCTTCCCCCGAATCTGGTAATTTTACTCACTCGGTTAAAAGCAACGAAATCGCTATTAATGCTATTGGGATTACATCAAATTTGGCAATAAATAAATACCATATTCTTAATATTTAGAGTTGAAAATAGAAAAAACCGTTTGATTTTTGATTTGTTTTTTCATTTTCCCTATTCGTACGAGTTGCTTATTGAGTATTGCGTAGGTAGTGTATGATTAAGTTTCTTTTTGTGTTTGCATTGTTTTTATTCCATATAAAAATTTGTTTGTTTATCTGTTACAAGTCTATTGTATTAGGTAATAACCTGTAAAAATAGATATATGTGTGGAAAGAATAAAATAAATGATTTCGTAACATTTAATATGAGTTGACCCCTAGAGTGGGTACTCACTGTCATCGTCGTCACTGAGCGCCACGATGGGCGGCGCGGGCAGCTCCAGATCCTCGTCGGGCCCGGGCGACGGCACGTCCTCGTCCCTCTGCGGGGGGGAAGGCGCAGCAGCCGGCAGAGTCGGGATCAACTCGTCCAACTTACGTTTCAATGCTCGCACTCGCGCACCGAAATTTTTATATGCCTACAAAATTACAAAACATTTTATTGTTGGCAACAATATCTCTTCTTTTGTCTAAACAATTTAAAGTGTAATAGTAGGCCAAAACCTCCTTTCTAAGGAGTCCAACAGTAGACTAGTAAAGCTGTTGATGATGTTGATAATATTGATGATGTAAAGTGAGGCAGGTTTAGGCAATCGGGCGGAACGGTCAGTCGGTATGAACTTCCAATACAAAGGGGTTATGGTATTCTGGTTAGGCTAGTTTATGTACGCTTTTGCCTGCGTGAATGTCGGTAACTACTCAGTAAAAAGTAGCCAAGGTCCTTTTTCCTCAACAATCAAATTTTTATTTTTTTATAAAAAGACAACTCCCTCGTTAGGAATATATCCTGTGTCGCGAGTTACTTTACAAACGTACCTGAAACGGACACAAAGAACTCACTCAGAACAACAATTTATGGATCTCAAAAAGTGTCATCCCATGTGGGGATCGAACCCACCACTCTTAGTGTAGTAGTAAGCGGCGTGGCGACCGCTTAAACTATTACGCTATCCGTGTACTCAAAATTTAATTTAAATTGGTTCAGCCATGGAAGTGTAACAAACACAGAATTACGTTCGCATTTACTATATTAGTAGGAATTGGTCATTATAGGGTAAGCTAGTTCTTATGTCAGAAATATTAGTAAGTAGGTGTACAAAATAGAGAATGAGTGGCACTGAATTAGAACTTATCGTTTTGAGAAGACAAATCCTTATTAAACTTCCTGAAACTAATCTTTCTAGAACGAATATTCAAAGGGGTATTGCTTGGGCTAGGCTCATAAAAAATATGGTTATTTAGATGGGGTAGCACAGGATACAGTGGAGGTGAGAGCTGATGCGTCGCAAGGAGTACTCCATAAACCTGGGTCGCAATTCCAGGCGCTGTCGAAGTCGCATGTGTTGCTCCCGGCACCCACACGGTGAATCCATGGAACGCTAAGTAATAGGTTTGTAGACCATTGTTTTAACTATGTAAATAATTCTGGTAGAGCACATCATGTGAACTACTAGAGGCCAAAGTAGAAGGATATAAAAAGAATATACTATAATTATTCAACAAGACTTACATAAGCAACAACTTTGACTTCGCCCCTCTGTGTTGAATAGTACTGGGTAGCAGATGCAAGTAAGGCCAGTAGCGCCTCTCTGGCAACTATTTCACGTTGTAATGCTTGAGTATATTTCTCCACGCAGCCAATACCCTCATTAAGCTCCTTTTCAATATCATCTTTATTGCTCCTGTCTACAACACACATTATATGAAGTAATCGAAATGCATCGTAATTGACGGGCCTGTTGGTCTAGTGGTTAGTGACCCTGACTGCTGAGCCGGAGGTTGTGGGGTCGATTCCCAGACAAATATTGTGTGATGAGCATGGTCCTTTGTTCTGTCTGGTGTAATTTATCTATAATATGTATGTATTTAAAAATATATAAGTATGTTTATAAGCAGTCAGGTTACCATAGAGTAGGCTCTGCCTAGTTTGGGATCAGACGGCTGTGTGTGAGATGTGTTTTTTTTTTCATAATGTTAAATCTAGATACAAGACTTTAACTGTACTTGTAGACTCTGTGTATTTGTATAAACTCTATTATATCTTTTCAGTGTAGCACTGAAAAGTGATGTAGCAACTGTTTTTAAGCACTGCTTACAATCAGGCAATTGTTAACTCACTTAGCACTATAACAAATACATTAATGTATATTAACCACAAACAAAAAAAAAGATTGCATGCTCAATAGACTTCTTAAAAACTATATCATAATTCAAAATCTGATAGATTTTTCTGATAAGAAAAATTATTTCATGACCTTTTCAAACATATGGCATAAAAACATAATGGACTAGCTATGAAATAACTTGTAAAGGACTACCAATACCTAGAAAATTATATCCCATGTTAGGAAAATTTGTACTTGGATTAGGAATATGCTTTGTGTTTAAATACTAGATTAAAAAAAATGTTTGTTGATAAAAAATTCAATTTGTAATTAGACATGTTTCTTTTTCATGGTACCACTGCAAGTGTTGAGAATCTTAAGTGATATCTCCTACAAGATTCCTAACACTGTAACTGTAACACTGACTTGTACTGTCAAGTGAACTGAGTTGAGGTGTTTTTCATAATTATAAAAAAAAAAAAAAAAAATAGAATGTTAAGGGGTGGTTGCATGAATAACACATGAGTATTAATATATTCAATGCTCAATTTTGGAATAATAACATCAGTTATGAATTTGAACAACACAATTTGCTTGTATATTCAACTTCAAGGTTTGAACTTTAACTTGAATACATATTTTAAATAAAAATTAGCCTATGCATTTTGATGGCTGTATGTATGTAATAAATGTGACCCACAAATTGTTGTTCTGAGCCTGGGTGTTCTTTGTGTCTGTTTCATGTGTGTTTGTAAGTCCTTCACAATACAGGATTATTTTCCTAGTGGTTTTTTACAAAAAAAACTTAAAGACAAAATAATGTGATAAAATTACTTGAAAATATTTCTCAGTCAACACATCACAATTATCTTAGAGGTAGGACCTCTAGATCGACCTAGAAACCATCCTATAGAAGAGCATCAATTCCTCAATGATATCACAATAAGAGTCAAAGACTAGTAACTGATCAAAAAGGGAGTTAATTTTAGTCAAATTGATATAAATCTTCTCTTATAGAGAAACAAACCTTTAAGACTGGCACGCAATGCCTCAGCATCAGAGAGCTCCAAATGACTGTCATGAATGGCTTTTAGTCTCAAATCAGTGTCCGCCTCCAGCACTGCACACTGTTTTATTTTATTCACCAATTGATTTGGCTGAAATAATAAATGTATACTTTATGTAACAATTGAAGTGTAGGGTACAATAACTTGCTATAAATATTTAATGAAATAGAGAAAAGGCAAGTCACACCTATCCTAAATTGGGTAACTTTTTTCTTGTAGAAACCCCCAAACAGCAATCACCATGGTGAAGTGGTGTGTGGGAATTAAACTGTCTACAACCACAAGGTGTTATATCACAGGTAAATAAAATAAAAAGGGACTTCGGTATTTCTTAGGAAGTAAGTCCCCGATAAATAGATACGATACCATAGATTTATGCTAAAATTTGGAGTTAATCCATTATATTCTACCATCAAATACTTATTTAAAATTAGTCGAGTCACCATTGTGTCAATACTTAACACCTAACTCTAACTGTGATCAGTCTGCTCATAGAAATCAAATATAGCTCACTCAGGACCCATAATATTTTGTGGCTGTGGTGCTTCCCTGTTTAAAAGGGTGTATGCCTATTTTACTTCATTTTGTCTCCCGCTTTGCTTTGAACTTTGCTGAGGGAAGTGGATTTACTGTATTTCCAACTCGTCCAATTTTCTTCTGATTAATCCAATCCAAGACAGTTTAATTTTTTGCTGAGACTTCCCGAGTGTCATAACTCGGTGTGTTCGTGGGTCACTGCTGTTGATCCTGGTGTACAGGAGTTACAGTAGTGGGCGTGTGGGATTGGTCCCATCAAATAATTATAAATCTATTGTAAAATCTATTGTACAGTTTTTAGTTAATCAGAATTCTGAAACTCACCTGAAACTCAAGTGGATCATCATCACCAGTCTTCTTATTAGCTCCTGCACTTAACAAGCCTGTTAGATCTGATAAAAACTCATCATCATAGACTTGTCTTTGTTCCCATATCTTGAATATTCGCACAATTTTAGGTCTGACTTTATCGTCCCTACAAAACATTTAAGTAAATTAAAAATTATATGCATATAATCTGTTCAGAAACTTAATTTATATCTTTAAGTTGATATTAGAATGCTAAAATAGTAGTATTTAATAGACGAAACTAATTTTGATTACTTTGATTTTGAAATATTCTTATAAATTAAATAGCCTGTTTAGTGAGCTAGGCTATTTGTAACCTATAACCATAGGTCATTCTAGACTATCTCAATACAACAACTTTATTGTCTTACAGCTCCTTAGGTTTATTTAAACAAGACTTTTATCCATGATAATTATAAAAAAAGACATTTTGGCCACTTCATTTATAAGAATATAACTTACATAACTTTGTTCAAATGTTAAAAGAACTTAAAATTACTTCAATAGGTGTTCAATATTTCATAAAATTAACCTCTCATAAGCTGCAAAATGCTGCTACACTGTAAAATGCTTTCTCAAGTGAGCACTGATCAGTGTAGCGGCACGCACGAGAGGTTAATATCGCTTTATAAAAAATCAATGTCACCTTAAATCAGTCAGTGTGAAAACATTTAAAACAGTCTCCAAAACTTTTTTTAATTTAGAAAATAAATATTTTCAAATCACATTATAAACCTTTTTTCTAAAGTAAATTGCTTATGTGTGAAGTGCTTTATGTGCCTTTTAATATTAATTCTGTTAGATTACAATAAGCTCTCAGACTACAAATCATTTTTTTCACTAACGATTTATACCCAGATTAAATTATATTAGCATTGGTGATATCAATGTTTTAATGAAGACATTCTTGTAAGCTAAAGTGACATATTATTATGTGCCACAAATACTTCAATTATATTGCCATAACATAATTATACATAGGATACTTGAATCTTACTTAGGTAGGTAAAAAAGTTCATATTGCATAATAAAACTATTTGATACTAGCTTTTGCCTAAGGCTCTGCCCACGTATATGTCGGTTTTCACAGTTAATAGTAGCCTATATCCTTCCTCAATTAATATGGATTAGCTAAGCTTTTATCTTAATAAGTTAGTCTAACATAGGTGAAAGTTACAGTACCAGACTTTAACTGCAAACTTGATCATGTTTACAGAGAAGGTTAGGATGCTTATTGATATCCAATAGTCACTTTTTATCATCAAAATACAATAACTTGTCAGACCTTGACTTTGAAATTCAATAGAGGTATATGTTTGCATGCAGTCATAACACAATACCAGCCTAGTCTACAAATGGTTACAGTGGCTGGCAATATTCGTCTCAATGTTGAGGACGTATTCTTATAAGACTATGAAATTATACAGTTTACAAAGGAAATTAATTAATTTTCAAAAACTAACCTGACCAAAGGTGTTGCTTTTTGTAAGTTGAGACCCCAACTCTCTACGAAATCATAGTTCTTCCTTTTACTGTACTGAATAACATCATTTGCAAGGTAAAACAGAACTAACCGCTGTTCAGGTTTAACCCTTTTCAATACATTTAACCAACTTTGAACTATTTTCTTATGATGCGCCTTTTGCTTAAGACACCACGAAGACAAACTCTGAATACTCTCCTGAGTATCCTTAAGCTGCATAAGCCGCTTTTCAAAAGCTAAAGTGTTGAATTCGTCAATTTCACCCATTGTTTGCAAACTAAAAACTGATCACTGACACATTGTAACTTTTACATATAGGTATGTGGTTTGTGGTCAAAACTTAAGTTTTAACAACACTATTTAAATGGCATAACCATTACCACTTTACCGCATAATCAAAACAACACTATGTGAACAAATAAACGCCGAGAAAAACCGCGTTGCTAACAAATTTACTTTTGATTTCTATTACACAATCGGTATTAAAAATCACTTTAAGTCTCACCCTAAGTGTATAAAATGGCCTAAAACAATTATACCATATTTCTAAGTTAAATATTAGGAAACAAATACATTGAAAATAGAAACTATTACAGAATTATCTTCCAAAGACAACAACCGCCATTTTCTGTTGCTATATCTTTACTTTTTTAAATTCGGTACCAACTAGGCAAAAGTAAATGGTATGCAGCCTAGTTCTCGTACACTATTAGTAAGAAAGTTTAACTCTAAACGGAATGAGAAATTGGATTAGTAACACAGCTATTACATTAGACCTTTTCAAGGTTTAAACCTTATTATGTACTTGTAGGAGAATGTAATAAGAGTAAAAAAATAACGTAGTAATAAATGCGTAAGATGCATAAAATAACTGGAGATACTAGTTAATAGAGACAGCATGGGTCTCCTTAGCTTTCATGTCATAGGTATTAGGAGATTTGCCAATCGCTGCTAAGATCTGTTCTTTTCCTATAATGTTTTTTATCAAAAATATCAAAACAGTTTTTTGTTTGTCAAAGGAGAAATATGTGTATCGTAAATTACGTGAAGAAAGTATATTATCTAAAATGCAAACTTATAAATAAGTTGTGATTTTTATACTTATAGTCTTTATTAATTTTCTCGGGGTTCGTGGCTTAGTGGTAACCGAGTACATTAACACAATGCAAAGTTAAGCAATCCTAGCCAGGTCAGTCTATAGATGGGTACCCATTCTTAACACATTGAGACACCTCCGTGACTCAGACGGTCCCGGTTGTCATACGCATATCTGTGTCAATCGTTACGATTAGTTGGAGCCCTAAAAGGTCATAGCTCATTAGAGCCACCCGACACCCGCACCAGCACCGCTCCGCCTCGAGCTTCTCCTTCTCCTTCTCCTCGATCCTTTAGGATTTAACCAGGCCAGGTCCAATATTTTAGCTTTTGGGAGTGTTTGTGGACCGACTAAGTTGATGTTTTTTCTTTAGGTATATACTGTGAAACTATTCAATTAAGATATATTGTAAAATTGATGATTAGGGTTCAGAACCAAGCCAGAGACAGTGGTGTGACGTATTCCGCCGATGTCTGTATAAACCGGAAGAAGGACAAAGCCTTCTGAGGCCCTAGTGCGAGTAGTTTCAGCGTTCAGATTGGCCCGAGCTGAAACTTATACTAATCGCAACGCAAAACGCGCTCATTTATCTTTGACCTAATCTAAGTTGTGATTTATCACAGGTGAAATCACAGTGACCAATACCAATCATTTCATTAAATGAATATGATTTAAAAGTAGCAATAATTTCCATGTCTAGTGACTGCTTATAGTGTCGAGGTCTGCTGGTGTTCTCGGAGGAATTTTTCCTAGAGTATACCCGCGTACCTTGCAGAATACTTTTAAGTGACAGAATAACATGTGAATTTAGACGATTCGATTAGACAAATATTTCACGGTGAGCCCTGAGGAGGTGGATGGTTTAAATAATAGAACTAACTTTGCCGTTATAGTTTTCTTTCTAAGATCGTAAATTTTTCTATGAAAAATAGTCTTCAGTTTTGAAGACTATTTACTCTCAATGTTTAGGAAAAGCTATACAATTATACCTCACACTATGCCGATGGTAGCTTAGAAATCAAAAAAAATATGATTGATATGTTTGCCCTGCAAAATTACAGGTAACTAGTACTAACAGCATCTAAGCTAAGCCGCAGACGGACGGACACAACATTTTTAAAGTTTGTATAGTTCGATAAATTAAATGATAGTCAGAATTGTAGTTTTTGAGTCTACAGCTATTATCTCGAGTTTCGACAGACTATCATAATAGTTTGTATCTTATTAACAGAATATATTATAATAAGGAGTACTTGGTACAATGTTTTCTACTTTACGATGAGTGTGGCCTAACCGCCGAAATTATCTTAAAATAAGTAAATACAAAGTTGGCTTCACTTGCCGTAAACATAATCGAAATTTTACAATTTATATGTAAGTAGATTACTGACATACGTCCCTGCAAACGATTTTAATAATCTACTAGTTGACCCGGTGAACTTCGTGCCGCCTAACAGTCAATGAATGGGCAGATTTAGGATTTTTAAATTAATTAAAAATTATAAAGTTAATTTTTTTATTAGAATAATTAATATAAATTTAATAAATCAAGTTTTTAATGACGTACCAACAAGACATTTATTGGCCAGGTATTTTGGTGAATTGGTTGCACTCTTCAGTGAAGTACCTTGTGATATACGACATTTTTCGTTGAGTTATCAGACGCAAGAACAAATAAAGCAGATGGTTTTCAGACCCTTGAACATGCCACCTATAATTGGCCATGAGAAAAACATGCATTTTCTAGATTCAGACCACAAACATTTAAGGAGTGACCGTGTGATTTGTTAATCGTCATGGCGAATGCGAGACGAATCGGAAATTGAAGTCGTCTGAACTCAAACGGCATATCGGTTGGGATCATCGGAATCCTCGGAATGAGAACTTCCTCACCTTTGAATTTTACTTTGAGTATCGTCGCGTAAATCACATTGATCATCAGTTTACTTATCATCAAACGCGTTCCTTTGCATAGTTTTGGTTGGTTTAAGTTTCGAAGCATGATTACTACTGAGCCAACCTTTTGTCGTATCAGTTTGTTGCGGAAATGATGTATTTTTAAGGAAAACTTCAGAAGTACTTAAAAGCCGTTCATGAGCGATGGTCGAACAAATTGTCTCAGTTAACCGACAGTAGAAATAAAGTAGTTAACATAAAAAGAAAGGTCCTTATAAGTATTAACGGTCCCTATAATGTCCGCGTGTCTTGACATAAAAATCGAGCAGTCGTAAGTCGTGGTTGTAAGAGTGTGGTGTCGTAGTGTCTTCTGCGCCAAAATTGCTCGCTCACTCAACCGTTCATTTTTTCGTAGTTAGCAATGATTGTCTTGGAAACACCCTTTGTATTTTTGAGTGTTCGCTGGAAAATGTCGTGATTCGGGTGTTTTGCCACGACGCAATTAATGTAGTGGCTCAGGCGGAGTCAATAATGGTAATTTCACTTTGCCACTAAGTCGGCACAATCCTGGCGTTTCTCCGGAAAACTTCAATGCGCCGCAATACTCGCAAACAACGTCTATTGACCCAATGCGAACGGAAGCATGCGAGCTGTAATTAGTGCTGCAATCGTATCGAAACGCTGCTCGATTCAAATCAATACTTGAAAAAAAAAAATCGCGCGTCCAAAATTATCTAGTTGTTGATCTCTGAGGTTTGCTCGACGATTTCGCATTGCAAACCGAGCCGTTTCACGGGCGCCTCGCTTTACTCTTGTGATTGATAGGCACCAAGTCGGGCCATACTAACATGGCGATCCTCACGTGCAATTTCTTGTTCTTCTTCAGTGGTTGCACTCACGATGTTTCGAATCCTAATTGCATTACGGCTTTGTCGGGAAAGATTGTATCTTTAGTTAATAATAATATCGGCACAATAAGATTTATTATAAAAATAGTCCTAGAAACTCGGTTACCACTCGCACAAAATAAACACATCGACCATGCATCGACCGGTCAACTTCAATTTCAACGATTTGCGGTATTTTCAAAACAAACCATAGACAACATTACGTGAGCTGTCAGTTGCGTTTTGTTATACCATTTATAACAAATGAACGGCTAGACTGATGTTTTGACTGTTTTTTTTTTCATTTATTTTTTATTGATGAATATCATATTTTATAATACTTATTATCCAGTTCCGGACGAAGACAAATCCAAAAACACAAAAATTATTAAAAAGTGATCCAGCAGTTCTTGAGTTATAAATGGTGTAACTAACACGACTATAGATGCGAAGCCGGTTAATAACGATTTTAACCAAGCGGTTAAAAATGCATTTTTTGTTTTTAACGGTTAATGAACTGCATTTTATGCTTGTTAGCGAATTTGGTAAAAGGAAGTATTAAAAACATTTTGATTGTGATTAAAAGAATCATGAGATAATACAGACTTGAAATTAAAAGAAATGGCAATAATAATAATAATGAATAATTAAGGTAGGACAATACACAGTAATTTCGATTTTTATCAACCACCAACAGGCAGGCAGTTGTCAGTCATTACTTTGTGTGACCGAAATTGAATAATACCGACCGACGCGTGCGGCGTGCGACCTTGTCAGCTCGCAGTATCCGCCGCCGACGACCTTTCTGTAACCCCAGCGTTGAGCAACATTTCCATACATAGCATTCGTACGCCACCCGCGGTGGATACGCGTCGGTTGTCGGTCGCACGCGACTGACGACGGTCAGAGAACCTCGGGCCTTGAACTATTGTTCGTTGGCGGGTCTCTGCCGGCTCGCAGTAGTAAATTCATTTGATTCTCGTCGGTATCGCTGCATGACACTATACAGATAAATATAAAATGCGTGTAAACATAACTTTTTAACTAAACTAAATTATATGTATAGTTACTGCTTTTAATAACCTCTTTATTTTAAAAACAAACAAAAAGTCTTTAATCCTGAAATCATAATCACCTAAAATCATACAAATGCTAAACTTTTGTTATGCAAACATAAGTGAGCGGTTCAGTTATGTTTAAATATATATTTTAATGTTACATGATTATAACAATACCAATATGCAATAATAGATATTAAGCGTTGTACTTCATAGTATTAGTTGAATTATATCCATTATTTTTTTTTATATTTAATGACTATACCTATAAAGATGGATTTGTAGATTTTTCATCTACAAATGCAGTACCATCTGCATATTAGGGGTAGTTAATCAAAAATTTAGTTAAATAACTGTAGCTAACGGGTTTTTTACAACTATAAATACGACTTTGCTTTATATACATAGGTATAAGTTTTTGATTTGTTAGGGACCAAAAGAAAACAAAACACTTGTTTTTTAACTCTGTTTTCTGTATTTGTACAGAGCACATATGTAACAGACACCAGCACTAACATTAAGTTGTTAACAACAATCTGCAAACGAGCCGTGGTGGAACATACTGTCAAGTGGTTCGAATCGAAACATAGACATGTTTCGAACCACTTGACAGTTTGTTCCCGGGAGCGGAACTACGCGATCGCGTCGGAGAGTGATGTGACATAAGTAACAGGCATAGTGACGTGCAATAAACGTAGTGATGTGCCACGCCATAAGTTCTTTAAATAGATGTAAGATTATTTTCTTGCGTTATGTGAAATTTTACCTACAAACATTACGTTTATTTCCGGTTACGGTCCGTGTGGTGACGGATTAAGAATACGAAATGTCACCACCCCTATTCATCCCGTGGGTGTCGTAAGAGCCGACTAAGGGAGCAAATTACGCAGGCCAACAGCACTGCAAAGAGAAGGAAAACTTCAAACAAACCCTATACCAACCCGTCTGGCCAGCATGGTATAGTAGGCCAAAACCCCTTTCTAAGGAGAGGCCTCTGTCCAGCAGTGGACTATTTTTTAGGGTGTTGATGTGTTACGTTTATTTCTCTAATTTCTGTATACCAGTTCAAAATACCATCCAAAGGTTGCCTGGAAGAAATTGCACTAAGCGATAAGGCCGCCCTTTGTACATTACATCTGTTTTTAATTACTTTATAATTTCTGTGAAACCCTGGTGTACAAATAAAGTATTTATCTATCTATCTAAGTTTAAGTTCATAGATGTCACATCTGAAAAGGTTTCAAATCATTAAGTACGGTATCGGCTAATTTGAACACAGTGAAAATAGTCGGGAGTAATAGTAGACTATTCGTCATAACCGAGTGTATCGTTAGTGGTCACCTCTATTAAGATTTGAGTGGGTATTTCAAACAGTACAATTTCATTTTCCAAGCTTCGTCAACCCCGTGTTGTCTTGCATTGATTAATTTTGTGACTTCGTCATTTTAAAGTTTGCGGTATAAAAGTCTGATTGCATTTTACATAGTTGGTGAGTAATTATTTAAGTAAATTATTATTTTGCAATGTTATTTTTATAAGACATTAAACCATTTTTTTAATAGGTTACTAAACCAACCTACATTTATTAAACCATTTAACTACGGCTCATTCTTGATTAAAAATAGTTGAACTTTTGATATTATTCTTGCAATTATATATTTTTAAATAGTAATAGAGGCATTGTAATACCCGCTTCCACTTTCTAGTTACTTAAATTTTTAAAGTAGATACGGCAATTTTCAATATATTGTAAAACTATATTTCTAACAATTATTATTCTAACTTTTAAATGATAATTTTGTAATACTATTATGTGTAATAATATAATTTTACTTATTATTTACATTATGTCTGTTATTGACCGACTTTCATGTATTTTCATTGTACCTACATTCTATGAAAAAAAATATATATCTTCACTTTATTTTCAGAATAGGCATTTACTAGTATTTATGGATAATACACAATTTAATGAAATTGCAATGCAGTGTCGATCACGATACCGAATTCCAAAATGAAAATTCTTTTAAAAAAATACGTAGTATTATCTTAAATTATTAGACATGGAGGTTTTTAGTACCTATTCCTTAATGACTTTTTATCGCAAGATATTTTTATCTATCTACCTTCTTTTAAGTACAGTGACCCTCAATAAGAAGTAGCATATTTGGGTATCTATATCCACTGAGTCAAAATAGTCTAAGAAATTACAGTGACTATACACAGTATTTTGTACCCATAAGTGTCTGTTTCATGAGTTTGTATGCACCTTATATAATATTACAACTACATACGTAATTTTCAAAACTCATAGCTATGAATTTTTTATCCATGATTTGGTGTTTTAAATAGACGTAACCAAATCAAAAACCGGTTTATCTGTTTGTTTGTTATACAAAATTAAAAAGAGGGTATTCCGATAATAATCGAATAAAATATTGAATTTCTACAGCTTTTTAAGTAATACGACTAGTATTTAACTAACTTTAGAAGGATATCTATACTTGTATTATAAATGAGAAAGTTAAGTTTATTTGTTTGTTACACACACGCCTTAACCAATAAACCGATTTTTAAAATTCTTTCTTCAGCGAGTAACTTTACTTGAGGCTACTTTTAATCGCGATAACCGACATCTGCGTTAGTGGAGCCACGGGTAAAAGATAGTCGTTAAATAAATGGTTGATTTAATTTGATATTTTAGCTCAAATATTTCATGACAATCATATTATTCACGTTCATAATTCAACTGCACGGATGGCGTAGTGGTTTAAGCGGTCACGTCGGCAAGTGTTGTGGGTTCGAAAACACTTTGTGTGATCCACAAATTGTTCTGGGTGTTCTTTGTGTCCGTTACATAAGTAGTGATAATAATATTTCGGACATCTAACACGCATCGCCATCTAGTTTCAAACTAAGCAGAGCTTGTATTATGAAAGCTAGATTGACTGATAAATTTTTTTTTGCAAATTATAACACATTATAAGTGTTATAAGTGTATTACATATTGTGTGTGTAAAGGAGTGAAGAGAAGTGTTTGTAAAGGATACAGGATGTAGGACACAGGATATATTCCAAGTGTAGGTGGCATCTTTTTAAAATAAATGGAATTAAACTCTTATATTACTAGATTTTTCTCGCAGCTTCGCTCATGGACCAGAATCCCTTGAGAATTGTACTTTTCTATATTCCTAAAAACTTCTATGGCAAATATCATAATAATCGGTCAAGTAAGTGACGATAGCTCAAAAAGCAAACGCATCTTCGTTTTTGTAATAGCTTGTGCCTGTGGATTCGCTTGCGTGAATGAACATTTTTAAAATATATTTGGGTATCAATTACTTGTCCTTATCAGTATTTCTTACTTTTGTACACGTCTTATACAAAATGTTTCTACAAAATTTCTAAAGTAGTTAGGATATAATGACTATATTTTTACTTCGATGTGAAATGTCACAGGTTCGATACCCATTGAGCGAAAACATTACAACTAAAGTAGGTAAATCACATCACATCACATCAACAGCCTTTAATAGTCCACTGCTGGACATAGGCCTCTCCTTAGAAAGGAGGTTTTGGCCTACTATACCACGCTGGCCAGACGGCTTGGTATAGGGTTTGTGTCAAGTTTTCCTTCTCTTTGCCGTGCTGGTTGTCCTACGTTAGTTCCCTTAGTTGCCTCTTACAACACCCACGGGATGAATAGGGGTGGTGGCACTCCGTATTCTTAATCGGCCACGACACGGACACGTAGGTAAATACAAATAGTTAATACTTTTTTTTAAAGTTCACTAATAATTTCAAAAATCAATGTTATTTCAATGATCGTATTTTAATACATATGTAATGTAGTAAGGTGGCCAACCAGGACACAAATCATGAAGATTTTATGTTGTTTTTTTGCACTCCTGATAACGAGTACCATATAAGGCGTACCATGATAATGTGTAGAGTAACTATCCAACTAATAAATATAAGACGTGATACCGTTACAAACAAGCTTAGATTCACAGTTATTACATTAGCAAGAACTATGATAGAAGGGGAAATCTGCAAGTAACACTTCTAGTCTTGCCAATATTTAAAATGACTGACGTCACCATGAAGGGTATCACGCCATTTTTTTCATATAAAAAATCGAATTGTGTGTGATACAATTACTTTTTAATTTCAGATTAAACTAAACATCACAATGGTTGTGCTTAGAGGTAACCTGGGCCAAAGGCAAAAACAACTGAATACAATCGTAAATGAAGCAGCAAGTCGATATGACCGCTTTGAAGATATCAAAGACATGAGGGAAACGTCTGATATTGAGAAGTTTATGAAAATTGATCTAGCCTCTAAACATAAAAATATAGATTACATTATGGAGGTGATTAAAGCAGGCGATACTTTGCATATAACTAGGGCTCTCAAATGTCTTTGGATTTATGATGTTATGTATTCCGAAACTTTGAATGCTCAATTCGTTCAAGAAAAAATATTTCCATTCATGTCTCTAAAGATGAGGCGGAAGATGTTGACTTTTATGTCCATGCACATAAAAGACTCTGATCGCATAGTTAACTTTATTAAGTGTTGTATGGATATTCAGTCACCAAAATTAGCTTTAAAATTTGTAGTTAACGCCGCTAACGCAATTAAGTTAGAATTTCTGAGAGAAAATTCTGATATTATTGAAGAAACTCAATCAAAGACATTTGTTCAACATTTTATTGGTAACTCTTTTACGCTTGCGGAAACACTTTTAACATTAATAGGCTCAGAAGCAAACAAGATTAAAGTGTTATATAATATTAGACACATGTATTCATTAAAAGATGTAGGGTACTTAGATATGGTGGAGAGACATGTCAAATTTATTCCATTTACTAACCTCTTACGCTTAGGTTCAACGATTACCAAACATTTAATCAAAAACCATAAACTGAGAATAATTGAAAATCCAAGAATATATATCAACCTCTTACACATGAAAACAGTAGCAAGATACATAACCGCGGACGATGCAAAAATGATTGTTTCAGAATTACATCCTGCAACCGTAGAAAAATACTGGAATGAATGCTTTTGTTTATTTTATAGCAGCATTATAAATAAAATTCCATATGCGGAAAGATATCAACTTCTAAAAAGTATGTTCAACTTGCAATATAAATGTCAATCGTTTGAAAACAACCCTGAGTTTTATAACAAACAGTGCTACAAATTCATGACAGAAGAAGAAAAGCTTGACTGGATTCGGGATCAGATTAAAAGTCATCCAGAAATGTATGATAAACCTTATTCTTTGTACAGTATTCTTGCATTTGAGGGTGCTTTTAAAGAGATAACCAATTTAGTAAAAAGATGTGATTCATCAGAAATTCGATGTGACATGATGATCTATGTTCTTCCGACTGTTAAAAAGCAATTACATATAAAGAGGCTGTTGGACTACTATCAACATAGCAAGGAACCCGAACATGCCCAAGAAGATTTTATTAACCGGTTACTTCAGGAACATAGAGGGTATTATTTCAATAAAGATTGCTGGACAATATTGAATGAAATATTTAAAAAGCTAAAAGTATATGAATTTTGTCCTGGTTTTGACGCTTTTTTACAAAATTTTAGAGTAGTTGCAATTTTGTACTATATAATTAACGAAAACAATCTCTCTGAGGAGTTGAAAACGTTCATGAGTGGAAATGAGTACATAAATGAATTACTCCAGCTCTCAAGTAAAGCACATTCAGCAGATCAACAAAAGGTATATCAATACTTATTTAATTTTTACCTAGGTAAAATTAGTGAGTTTGACACTGAAGAAAGAGTGTCGGAGCTTCTTCAGAAGTACGTGACTGAAATGTTGGATCTTTTGAGTTTTTATGGTAAAACAAAGGATGATATTCCAGAGGTGGTAATGCAAGTCGTGCAAAATGATCGCAGCAACTTGAAGACACATAAATTGATTCATGTTCCCTTTATCGAAGTTACTCAGAAAGAGATTATGAAACTTCTCAAAGTTGACCCAAAATTGGCCGTCGACAAGCTTCCATCGATAATAAAAACTCATGAACTCAGCCCTACTGTCCGCGTCAGCCAGTTATTTAAAAAACTAAAAGTATATTTTTTTAATGATATTTCGCAACAATATGTTGAATATTATAAGAACTGGTTGTTGAAAAAATCCTTATCGAAGTCGTGTACAGAAGCTGCTACCTATGCTATTTTCCTACTAAGTGATGATGCTTTCAAAGTACACTTTATGACGACGAATGTTCCAATAGACGACGAAAAAAGCAAGATTGACCCCAAGAAACTTCGTATTCAACATGCTATATGTGCCACTGTATTGCACTCGCGTCCACATGTTCCTCTTAAACATTTACTAATGTACATTAAAGGTCAATATATTCGGAGTTGCTTGCACTTAATTACTTCTTACTTAGTAAACTTGCCTTTACCGCGTTGTATCGAATTCATTGACGAAATTTTGAAAGCGCGATCATTGGCGCAAGAACGCGGCATCCGTGTTGCTTTTGCATGTTTTAGTGCAGAAAATTTAAGAAAAATAGTTCTCTACATTTGGAAAAAAAATAATATTGCCTCATTGAGACTGATTTTATACTCAGCTTTGTACAATAAAATTGCTAATGAAAGGGAATGTGCACAAGGTAAATTGTTTGATATCTTAATTGAATTAACATCAGACCTAGACGAAAACGATAACGACATATTTAAAGTTATAGTGTCAGGAGGCTTACCAGAGCACTTAGCATCGGAATTTTTAAATGCTGCTTGGATAGCCGTGAACTCCTTGCCCGTCGACAGAGTAAATTTGTATAGAAGGGCAGATGTAATAGAACACATGTGTAGAATTTTTTATTCAATGCGCCAAGACCACGTTCGACCTATTATAGAAGATTTCATTGAAGATTTATTTGATACTTTACAGACAAAGATCTCAGAAATAGACGATGCTATTTTTTATTTATATAATAAAAAATGGGAGCTAGCTGGAAAGTACGTTACAAATGTGCGAAATGAAAACGACCTTAATATAAAGAATGAATGTGTGCGATTAATAACTGGTGAGTGTTTGGCAATATTCAATACCATTGATGGTAACAAATATATTGGTCGAGATCTATTTATGAGGTTTATAAGATTTATGCAATCAGAAAGTTATACACAACCTTTCGTATGTTATACATACATCAATGTACTTTTTGAGACGATTATTGAAGCTCTGAATGAGGCAATGCCCATGGAACAAATATACTTTATGGTGTGGGAGATACATGTGGATATGGCAGTAAGAAAAGCAATCATTAATATTGAAATACATTGTTCTAGTTTGGTGAATCTTTCTGAAAAAATCACAACACTTAGAGACGCCTTAATATACTTCGGACGTAATATTGGTAATGTAATTAATCATTTTGTCGAAAGGAATACCTTTTATAGAAATTTGACGACAATTGTTGTCAATGACGCGTTCCCTCACATCAAGAGAATAGTTGACCTAGTACCTGGTGTAAAACTTGAAGATGTTTTAGTTGCCACCAGCTTAGCATTGATCGATTTTAAAACACCAGAACATTATATGTTTGCACTACTTCTTATACCGGAAAATTACTTAGGTTGTTACATTGTCGATTATAATACAGTCCTCAATGAAATCAGGCTTTGTACAAATATGGATGTAATCGCGCTTATGTTTCAGAAGTTTGTCAACTCTGACTTCAAACCGAGACACTTTTTAAAGTTATAGTTATATTTATTATTAAATCTGTTATGTTCCTATACATCTATTATTGTTTTATTTCAATTTTCGTCAGAAGCAAATGGTCAAGTTATTTATTAGCCAATCAAATTAATATTTTAGCTACTTAATCACCCAGAGATAAGTCAGTTGAAGCTCTATTGAATGGAACTAAGGTAGGAAACACATAACCGGCAGCACTGTTTTTACCCGACTGCGCCAGAGTTTACGTACAGTCAAGGGTCATAAATGCAGTAGCACCGTAATGTTCATATTCGCCTATCTCTGTGTGTGTGATGTTTCAATAAACACATATTATAACCAGATAATACAGACGTATAGCGTTGGTTGGTCACTAGACACACTAGATACCTACCTAGACACCTATTTATACGTTTTCTTCGTATTGAACTTCCAGTGGTAGCACCTATTTGAAACCGATGCTAAAATTTACCACTGTGGTTATTAGAACCACTGGCATAATAGTACGATTAGACCGTCACGCACACTCTTACTTCCATTGTTTGCCTGATGGCGAGTGGTTACTGTTCAAGCCTCAGTGCCTGATCACTTTTTGTTTCTAGGATATATTTTTTGAAATCTGTTACTTTAGAATCAATGTAAGTTTAAGGCAAGGTGGAATATGTAATTTCAGAAAAAAAGTAATTATTTTTCATAACATAATTTATTTTTATATTATATATAAGTTATTTAGTTAAAAGTTTTCATTTAATATTTTCATAAACTGTGTTAGTTGCTTAGTACAATTTGTTTTTGTTGTTAACAGAGGTTGACAGTTTAATTTGTTCATTTTCTCAAGTTAAAGAAGATTGAAACTTAACCTCTACATTACAATTATAAACTAACTTATTACTATTACAGCCAACGCAATGCAGGTCTTTTTAAATATAATATTTATTTTTATTGATACTTAGTAACCTAGATTGTTTATAATACAACCATGAAGACGTTGACGCATGGAAGCCACTGAACACCAGACGTTTTCTATACGGTTTAGATCAGGGGATACCGCTGGCTATGGAATAACCTTAACATTCGAATATTGACGAAACTATTAATACCAATAATACCAGCATCTTGAATAAAATAACTTCACTAAATTCCTCCACGGGATAAACAGGTAGCACACGCCACAGTAGGTAGCTTTATGTCGTTCAAAACCTGGACGTAATTGAAGTCTAGTTGATTTGGAACCATTTGTTTCACATTCACCAACCATTAAGCGTCGCTGAAACTGGAGTAGGCCAAAATCTCCTTTCTAAGGAGAGGCCTATGTTCAGCAGTTGATATGTTGATGATGATGATGAGACTATGGTTATCAAGACGTGGCGACTGGTTAATAATCTCTTCACAGCTTTTTTCTAAAAAATAATAAAAATTATTAGACATTTTGACCCGATACTTAAGAGATTATAAAATAAAATCATACACCACGATTATCATCACATAATCCATCAAAATATATATATATATATAATATACCTCGCACATCTCACACACGGCCGTCTGATCCCAAACTAGGCAGAACCTGTGCTATGGTGACCAGACTGCTGATAAACATACTTATATATTTTTAAATACATACATATTATAGATAAATTACACCCAGACACAGAACAAATGATCGTGCTCATCACACAATATTTTTCCTGGGTGGGAATCGAACCCACGACCGCCGGCTTAGCAGTCAGGGTCACTAACCACTAGACCAACAGGCCCGTCAAAAAAACTTACACTTAAGCGGGTTTCATATGATATTTCAGATATTAAGCCCGCGTAAAGCTATAACGTTAGCAATGGCTTCAATACTAATATTTGCTTGCATTTTGCGCTCCACTACTGTGCGCTTTTCGAGACACTTTTTGCCCCGCACAACCAATCTGTGGAACGGGTTATCGTCTGCGGTATTTCCGGACCGATACGACCTTCAAACCTTCAAGAAAAGAACGTACTCCTTCCTAAAAGGCCGGCAACGCGTTTGTGACTCCTGAGTTGCAGACGTTCATGGGTGGCGATAGTCACTTTCCATCAGGTGACACGTCTGCTCGTCTGATCCTTTTAAAATAAAAAAAAAATAGAATACAGACATTTAATATAAACATCAGTAGCAATTAAAAACACAAATGTGTGACTTAGTTCACTAACCGAGGACGGTATTTTTGAAACAATAAAATAGTTTGTTTCAAATATACCCCAACTTTTAGTGACTACTAATTTAAAATATTGAATCAAAGATTTATATTGTTTGACGTTAGTTACAATACTGCACTCATAACCACATTCCATGAATTCATCATATTTCTCTTTAAATAACCCGTTTCGTAACTTGAATTCAAAGTTATTAAAATACACGATTTGAGGTTCGTGTAAGTTATATTTCCGCGTGCACATATTGCACATACCCGTTTAGTTTTAATATGAAATAAAAATGATTAACCATTCTGTGATGTAGTAGAACTATAATGTGTATAGCACTTCCCTTCCATAAAAAAATGTATAATCATATACAGTAATGATGTAGGGACCAAAGTATTAGGCTCCTGAGATAGTTCTGGAAGAGTCAACAAAACTCAGAAGGTAGTCACATGCCGCCAATACGTCAGTAGGAAATACAGTGCCCGCGTTAGCTTTTTTAACCGCCTTCCAAAAATAAGGAGGTACTATATTCGGCTGTGTGTATTTTTTGAATGTATATTGTATGCACACCGATATTTACGTTATCTGTGGACCGATTATAACAATTCTGTTTTTGAATATACATTACCAGGTCCGGATCTGACAATAGTTTCAGAGAGAAAACGAGGGAAATCCTCAGAATCCTATCAATTTTTCTTACATAAGTTCAATCTTGGAACCATTGTCCTCCATATAATTAACTATTTTTTATTTATATAACTAGATAGGAACTACCTTACCTTATATAACTAGGTAGGAAGTAACTTAAGAATCTATTACATAGGTCACTGAAATAAAATAAACACTTTAATTCTGCGAATTTATTTTGTAATCTACACAAAAATGCAACATTTATCAATATTCTGTATAAAAAATAAGTACAACAACAAATTTTAATATCTACGACACAATACATTGTAGAATGAAGCTTTAATAACTATATTATCGTGATGGACGACTGATATATACATACAAAATGAGTCCTTCATTATAATTGCCGAACAACTTTTTTCCTACGAATTGAGATCTTGAATACTATTTACTCCGTGTTCCGTTAAATCGTACTAGAAGATTGTTTTCGATTTTACACGGAGTTCATCCATGTTGTTGTATTCTAACTAAATTTTATCAGATTTCTAATACTGCAAACGACACACCTTATAGAGTAACTAATGATGTTAGGTCATCACTAACAAATTAGTACCAATACGTTACGCTATTCAAATACTTATTCGTGACGCATATTTTATATGTAAATATGAATCGTTCACGCAAGTACAAGGAAAACTTTGTACCTACTGCAATATTTATAAAAATAGGAAGTAAGATTAAGTAATACTAGGGAATAATCTTCAAATAGGATTAAAATACTAAACTGAAGCGAGCTTGCACTCAAACTAAACTATAACTAAATTCTAAATACGACAGTTCTTTAAAGTAAAAAGACAGTTCTCCTACAAAGACAGTTCTCTAAAGTCGAATAAATTTGTAAGAAAAAAAAAAGTTAATAATTTTCGTCAAATGAAATTCAAATAATACTCAGGCTCTTTTTTTAATCCGTTTCGGCCATAACTAATTTAAAATATATTTTTATAATTATAATTAAAACAAAAAAAAATATCACAGGACTAAAAAAAAGAGATAATTTTTTATCATCTTTAACTGTAATATACCAATAACACACTCTTTGCCCCATAGTCGAAAGCGTCCTTATTTAACAAAATAGACGACATTTTGTCATTTATTTAAAACAAAGTACACGGGCGTTGAGCTCTTCTTCTCATAATAAAAACGTATAAAGTGATGCAGCAAAAGATAAAAAAAAAAAAGGATTATATCTAATAATTTTTAACTTTTAAAATATGATTAAAATACTAAAAAATAAGTAACTACATAATTAGAAGCTTTAGAATTGGACGTTAATTTTCAATTTCATACAGGACGAGTTAAACGATTTTTGTTAGCATTGCAAGTTTGTATTTTGTTTATATGAGTGATTAAATTTAAAAAAAGTATAACTACCAAATGTGTTAAGCATGATAAATATCTGTAATTATCATCCCCCAATTTACCACCCTTAAATATAGAATATTCTAGAACCAATTTTTTAGAACCACTTCAGTAGAAAATAATTATTGAAATCGGTTCATCACGCATAACTTACACGAAAACAAAATTATTAAATCGAATTGAAAATCTCATTTCCATCTGTAATGAAACTAGTCAGAATATGAAAAACCTAGCTACCAAAACTGTCTGAACACCTCTTCGTTAGGCCTAACGTACGGGGTTTTCTCTTTGCTTTAAATAATTTTTCTCTGGTTTTAAAACATACATCATAATTTTTCAGGATGTCTAGTGCCTTTCTTATCCTAGGAGTCCATAGATAACAAACTATTTAAAAAGAAGTATACAATTTTAATTCAGCCTGTATATCTAAAATTTGCAACATAATTCAACAACTATTTAGTCATAAATATATCATCTGCTACTAATATTTAAAACTAAGATTGCTTATTTTTAGCACACGAATGTTTTAGTTTACCCACAGACTGCAGCTTAAATGATACACTTAAGTTTACATAAGTTGGATACTGACGTCGAGAGTTTTACAGGTATAATGAACTAACAGAATAATGAAATATTTTAATCGTGATATATTAAGATACATGTAAAAATCTATGGTACATTTATATTTCAAATTAGGAACATTTATGTTAAATAACAAAATACGATTATTAATGATATTATTTGATATATATATTCTATGATTAACACTTGCAAAATTTTCATTTTGTTAAAGATATTCCGTTTTATTGGACCGATGTGATAAAACGGCCTCAAAGAAAACATGTGACCAGCTTTCGTTGCATTTTATCGAGTGTGTGAGGTTACTTAAGGAATTAACTTCCCCGTAGTTGAGAGGGGGGGTTTCCCTACAAGGGTGAGAGTAGTTTTTAACAGCTAATAACAAAAAGCGTTTTTGGAATATCATAGCTTAAAGGCGAGGCACACATATAGATAGTTTGTATGGACGTTTGAAGCGGTAGGCAAAGCCTTATATTTATAAACCATGCTGGCAATCTTACTTTAATGGCAGAGTATAAGCTAGGCACTAAGTGATAAGTTTGCTACAACAGATGATATACATATGTCCTTACGCTTATCTTATAACAACTGTGTCGTCAAATTACAAAAATTTCTACCCATGAAAACCTCAACTCAATCTAACTTTTCTAGGTACAATACGATAAAAATAATTATTTTCTTCACAAAAACTTTGCCGTAAAAATTTCTCGTAATTAAAAATAAAGCGGATATCAATAAAAATAGATATCGTAGAGTAGCTTTACCTAAACGAATACATAGATAACATTATTAATTGACAGCATCGATAAGTTTTAGTCAGAACAAAATAGAACATAAAAATATGCGGAGTCGCTTTCTTCTACAATAACTTTATAGTACTATAACAAATCGAGTATTGCGACATGGAAGTTTCAAGACACACTTTTGCATAGAAGAAACTACAAAGTTTTGATTTCTCTCAGTCGTACACGGGTAAAAAACTCTCGTTAATTTAACCCCTAATTGATTTTACTTAATAGGGAATATGCACGTGACACCAAAATGGACAAAATATTTTTATTTGTAATTTTTATTGCTAAAAAAAGATACCCATACAATTATTTTTGACATTTATTATAATTTAATAGTGAAATTTAATCATCAAAAATTGGCTTTTTTAAGATTCCCTCGCGAATTTCTAAAACGCAACGCTATTGGTTGAATAAAACGTGACGTCAACCTACACTGTCAAGAGTGTCAATAAGTTGTGTGTATTTGTAATATTTGGTTTCTGGTGATTATTTGTTTCATTTTAAGTTAATAACTAATACGTTTTCAGTGTTAAATTATTAAATTCCCGTGTAGAAAGACTCAACACAATGACTGAATATACTTTGTCAGGTGCGGTTTTGATATTATTTGGGCACAAAGGAACGGCACAATATTTATAATAAGTTTTTATTGGCTTTTCCATGGTAATAAGTTAATTTTTATCACTCACTTTTTTAACTTTCACAAACTTTGTGAACTTCACTCCGTTGTTGACATCGAATTCGTCTGAAAGTGTAATCTGAAGTAAAAAAAAGCGCGCCAAAATGGACGTGTTCAAATTGCCCCAAAATGATAGTGATTTTAATAAAAAATTTTTTGCTTAACGGTTTATATTTCGGATGTGATATATATTTTTTTGGTAATGTAAACTAGTAGAATCGTTTAAAAAAATAAAAAAAATACATGCATATTCCCTATTGAAAACAAAAGTGTGTCTGCAATGATCCATTTAATGAGTACATAAAGCGTTTAAATACACGTCATTAAATTTAGCTCAGCAAATGGAAGACTTTTTATAAAAATATACAAAATCAATTATCGCTTTAATATTGACCGAAATCCACTTAGTAGTCCTCTATCAATTCAATAGTAAAAATGAATAATATTCATAAATAATGATGAGAGTGGATTATCCTAATGTGAGAGGAATATTAGCAGAGAAAATGTTTAGTTGTAGTTTAACTTCTGTAATCAACTTAAAATCAAAATAAGGTTTTATCCTTACTTTTGCCCTATATGAGACGGCTAACCTATTTTTTTATAAAACATAACCTAAAAATAAACTTTTCCAATTTTTATTTTAAACTAAAGTATAAAATGTCCCGATAAAAAATTTTAGAAATACATCATCACTTATAGCATGTGAAACAAACAAAGAATATATTTTTAGGATTAATAATATATGACATGTGACTAAACGCGATTATTCTAATGTGAGGAGTGAAGAAATCTAGCTGTGTTAGAAAGGGATTCTATAGTTTTATAGTATTTATCACTACCTAACAATTCTATGTACAGGCTGGCCGGGAGTCAAAATATAATAATAGTTAAAGTTTGCTTTTTTGGGGTAATTCAAAAATATTAGCAAGCAAAAAGTCGTAACGCTTTTTAATTAAGCAGACAGACTGGTTTAGAAATTGGCTAAGCTAACCACGATGTGTAAGATTTTGTCTCTCGGCCAGATATTTTCAAAATAACATTTACCGAACAACGAGCAATACGAAATTATTGTCTGACGATTGCTTGTGATAGAAGTTAAGAAAACGACTATATATTGCGGCACCCTCGTGTATTTTACTAGCTATTTTGATCTGGTAAATAACATACAATCACAGGATTTGTAACAGCGATAAGTCTTAGGCCTGATAGTATTCGAGATTCTTTTTATTAGGCATTTACCTATAGAGAGCAGCTATCTATTCTGGGTATTTGATAGTTTTAGTTTGATAAATAAAATAAAAAAATGGACTTAAATGAGTATGGTAATGACTTGCATTTATTAAGTTTCTTTTGATTGGCAGACTCAAAGGGCGAAATTTTTACAATGCTTGTAAAATGCCAAAAATATTTAACATTGAAAAATATCGTCGAAATACGTAAAATACATCAAAAAGCCTTCATTCGACCCCCCAAACGAGATGTATCTGATATCCATCTTACTCAAGACGTTGTTTTACTTCAAAACAATGTTGCTTGAGTACCGTTCAAGGAATAATATCACATAATTCAATAAAACTATGAATGTAATTAGAATGATCGTGCTGGTACTGTTGACCGACTTACTAACCAGTAAAGGAAAAAAATATTTCTAATACGAGTGTTTTTTTTTTTTTAATACTATCATAACAATAACATTTTAACAGTTGCACTCCCTGATATACTTCAAACGGTACCCAATACAATATAAATTTAACAAACCGCCATTACAACTTGTACCAATTAAAGGAATCATTAAGAAACCTTAAATGTATACAAATAAATTATATCACACGGTTACAACTTTCTATAACAATAGCTAGAGTAAACGAATACAAAAGTAACTACGTATAACGACGATTCAATAAAGATTGCCACTCGGATACGAGACTTCCGTGTCTGGTTTATGTCACAGAATATATGAGAACAAGTACAGAACTCCCACTTCACTAATCATTTAAATAAATATCGACTCTTGAAACGACATAATAAAGTGCAATTAAGTCGCACAGAGCCATTTACCTACAAGCTGATTCTTTCTATATCTCCTGACGACTTTAGAGTTACATTTCGATACCGTTCGATGCTTTTTGTAAGTGTGGATAACATGAGTTTCAGGAACTTGTCATAAGTAGTGTTGGTGCTTTACATTTTTGTGTTGACGTGTGACCTCACTATGCTCTGAGTTTGACAGAATTCTTAGTATACCCTCGTGTTTTTTTAAAGCCGAATTTTTCATGACTGCTTCTAAAACATTTTCCGTTACGTGTATGCAAACAATGGTGACCGAGTGGCAATATTTAAATTCTCGTATTTTTAATACCTTTACACAATTTTATTCTAGTACTAGTCTATGGTCTAAATATGCGCTATCTACTGACGGTGTTGTCAACTATCTCTTGTACTCCTTTTTTTACTTGTAACACAAATGTTGCTGGTTTGAATATTGCACTTGGTATTTCGTAAGTAAATAAACTTACATTTAATTAGTTATTTTAATTCCAAAAACTGACCAGATGTAAGTTTATTTTTTATAATAGACATAAAAATCTTCTTTTTATTTTTTAATAAGTTATTACTATGTGCCATATTCAAGTGCCAACAACATGAACGTGGAGAGCGTATCAAAGAAGCAGTACCGGTCTATGAAGGACGCGGCTTGACGTCTTCCACTTGTATAAGCTGTTCTATAGGTATGAGGGAGAGCTCGCCGCCGAGCATCGGCGCAGGTAGACTCTGAAATAGAACAAACAAATGTGTTATAAGTTATAACACATTTGTAACTTATAACTTATAACAATGAAGTATTTTTTGTATGAGAATAAGCAGGGATGTATAACATCTACATTAGTCGATATGTAGATATCATGTCTATATTGGCTCACATAAAAATCTTATTCCAATTTTTGATTTGTTTTCATAATGATCAGTCTTCATAATTTTTTTAATCATACTTTTGTGTTCATAAATTTTTATTACTACCAACGGAACTCATAACAGACAGTTATCATATATTAATACTGTCATTACTAAGAACATGTTTGAACTCATAATATTGTTTTTCATAACAGTAACTGTTATTAACGGTTTATTTCTGTTAGAAGGGCAATCGTAAAAACTTTTTCTCTCAGATCAATAACTACAGAGATAGACTTTCCATCAATGGAACCGTCTGCTCGTCCACCCACTCTAACTTTTTTTTTAAATAGAGCGGTCCAAATGTTAAATAATTACAAAAACGGACAAAAAAGGGACATAGAAATAGAAGGGCGATTCTTCGCTAGTACATGTAAGTATTAGTTTAAAAAAAGTTTGATTCTGGCGCTTCGACGACCGCTTTTGCGGCACGCTTGCTTCCTTCGCTCGGCTCGCGCCTTTGTAATGAACTAACTTTTAAGCACCTCTATATCCGTATTATTGATCTTCTTTTAATTTTTAGGTACACAACACTATAAACACAATGAAGGATAAAGAATAAAATTAAAATTTAAATAAGACTTACTCATGGTTAAGAAATATATGGAAACAAATACACATTAGTAAAAAAAAAACGAAAAATTGGCAATTTACGGGGTCTACATGCTGCGATTCAGATTGTTTTGTAATTGTAATTATATTTTATACTAACATTAGTAGGTATGTAAGCTAATTTTTACTAACATAATATTGAATTTTTAATGAAGATATCATTATTATTATTATTGGCGTCACTACTATCAACTAGACTGAATAACCATTTGTCTAGTTTGTGTAAAATGTTTATATAAAAAAGTGTGTCACACGAATGGAGTTTATTCCTTAAGAACGCATACCCTGTGTACGTCGGCAGCACACAAATTTAACGATCATCGCCATCTATGTAAATGTTAGTAAAATAATTAGAAGTCACATATTAATTGTCATTTATTTTGTAGTGGACTCTATTTACTAAACTGAAACAAATTGCAATCATAGAACTAATAAAAACTCACAAAAAAATAATATTACAACCACCGTCTACAAATTACATTTAGAACTAAAAAAATGTAACGAGGTCACTCGATCACTAAATTTTCATCTTCATATTTTTTTCATACCGCGCGCCTTATATGAGATCGATTCTTATGGAAACTTCAAAAATAGTGTTTATATAATTGGCGTGCACCAGTAGCGGTGCGACTCACCATGGCGCCCCTGTCGGGCGTGTGCGGGGTGCGGTCGTGCTTGTCGCCGGTGGAGGCCGCGGCCTCGCGCGCGCGGCGCAGGCCGAGCGAGAACACCGCCACCGACCGCACGCGCTTCACCAGCGCCGCCTTCGCTCGGGACCGACCTGTATGCACGATCACATTACTACTCGCCTCCGTTCTGTGTAGCCGAGTGTTCGTCCAGGATCACTCCCACAAAAAAAGTCAATGATGTGTTCTGATCGCGGTACGGATGGCGTTCGACGTAATATTACTTTATAAAAAACTTAAAAACCCAGAGCAATCAATTTTACCATTCGAGTCCTTGTACATGAAAATACGAGTACAATCATTTATTTCTCTAAGACAAGATAGGGTGTTTATGTTAAATTATATGTGTTTTTTTATTAATATTCCTAATACATATTCCTCCATTAGGTGCCACAAATATAGTAGGCCAAAACCTCCTTTCTAAGGAGAGGCTTATGTCCAGCAGTGGACTATTAAATGCTGTTGATGTGTGATGATGTGTGATGTGAGGTGCCTCATAAATCGTTTTTGAACCCCGTATTAGTATTGTCAAACGAGCTGAGAGTTCATAAAAAATAATTCCGTTTTTTTAAAGTTCAATCCGTTAAATTAAAGTTCAAAATATCATAAGAGATTTATTCATATCACGCTTTAATTATGTGAACAACTATTTTAAACCATTTAAAATTATTGTGTTACTCACTGCCTTTATCCTTAGGTTTGTCATCCTCACTAGATGTAGCGCTCGCATCAATAGATGGCGCTGCAGAGGGTACCGCGTTTAAGTCGGGCTCCGATCCACCTGCACTCACGCTACCGGATAATTCCTACGAGAATATAATTTTAATTGGAAGATGTACAACATGTTCTGATGGAATGTGTCAAAAACCGTAGGGATAGGGAAATTCTCATGGAGGTATTGGAGCTAAACCCATGTGACATAGGAATCCCCCAAATGATTCTGTCTGCACCTACATCTAATGGAGCAAAGATACTCTGTCACATGACTAAGCCCGCAATGACTCCTCTATGATGTAAGTTTAAGATTGTATATATAATTATGTTATTAAATGTAAGTTAAAATTGTTACAATGGGGTTGTCATATCCGAAAGGATAAAACCCCTAAATAATAAAAGAAAAAAATAATAATTAATTATTACAAAAATTATATACACCACAATAGATATCAAGAAACAAACAATAAATTGACACAGTCACTTACACTCGACTATTTTTGGAGATCAGACCTTACAATCGTTAGGCTGAACACCGTTTCCTAAGATACAGGCCTCACAGCCTAGTTGAGAAGACAGGGCTTCATTAAATCTAAATTGTAACTCAATAGGGAATATGCATGTTTTTTTTTTATTTTTTTAAACGATTCTACTAGTTATTACATTACCAAAAATAAATATAACACATCCGAAATATAAACCGTTAAGCAAAAAAAAATTTATTAATATCACTATCATTTTGGGGCATTTTGAACACGTCCATTTTGGCGCGCTTTTTTTGTGACGTCAGATTACACTTTCAGTCGAATTCGATGTCAACAACGGAGTGAAGTTCACAAAGTTTGTGAAAGTTAAAAAAGTGAGTGGTAATAAGTTAATTTATATAATTAACTTATTACCATGGAAAAACCAATAAAAACTTATTATAAATATTGTGCCGTTCCTTTGTGCCAAAATAATATCAAAACTGCACCTGACAAAGTATATTCAGTCATTGTGTTGAGTCTTTCTACACGGGAATTTAATAATTTAACACTGAAAACGTATTAGTTATTAACTTAAAATGAAACAAATAATCACCAGAAACCAAATATTACAAATACACACAACTTGTTGACACTTGACAGTGTAGGTTGACGTCACGTTTTATTCAACCAATAGCGTTGCGTTTTAGAAATTTGCGAGGGAATCTTAAAAAAGCCAATTTTTGATGATTAAATTTCACTATTAAATTAAAATAAATTTCAAAAATAATTGTATAGGTATCTTTTTTTAGCAATAAAAATTACAAATAAAAATATTTTGACCATTTTGGTGTCACGTGCATATTTCCTATTGTAGCACACTCAATTTATGCTTGTATTTTTATATCACCAAAATTTCTAACATGATTTTGGAGTTCCTGTGTACTATTAGGAATGTTAAACTTTATTTCTTTATTAAAACATTTTACTATACTTTGCAACATTGCAACGTCAGAGGTCGCGGATTCGAATCCTACCTTGCAAATATGTATGTTACACATTACGTTAATGCATATTTGCATTTGAATCATTTGTAGATTATCTATCGAATCAAAACGAACATATAGAACTTACGGACTCTGCATCAGCAGTAAAATTAAGTGAAAATCAGAAACCAGATACCTGAAGCGTAGGGTTTATTAGTTGCTTATGTTGTGCAGGATGAGGGATGCAGTGCGCCGATCGATGCAAAGGCTCATCTCGTAATCCTCGCACACCTAACAACGACAAAGGCGCTCCTGGCGTACCGTCCTACAAAATAAATAGACGTTAATGTCCCTAGTTACACCATGCCATACGTGACGTAACGAGCTATGTCTTAGTAATTCATAATTTAAGAAAAAGTTTCTGATAGGTATCTTTATAACACATTTGATACTCGTCGGAACAATTACGCTTGATGTTTAAATTTACAATATAAAGTTTTTAAATAACTAGGGGACTATTAAATAATTTACTTTACTATATTTTGTTACGAATCGTTTCTACCACGTGGTAGAAATTTGAAAATAGTAAACGCATATAGTAGATAAAATTAAAACTATTACCTTACGTCGTATCGGTTTCGTAGGACTTACATCTTGCAAAGTCTGTAATGAACCTGTCGTCACCGGTGGCTCTGTTATAGACGCGGCTTTAGGCCTGCAATTTTATTAGAGGTAGAGTCTCAATTTCGTTTATGTGTGAATGAATGCTGAAAGCGTGTTTACACAGGAAACGTGACGTGCGGATAGTTTATAGTGCTGTTTGATTGAATGCTAAAGTTTTGTTTTCAATATTTGATATTAGTTGTTACATAGTACAGAAACAATTTTTCAGATAAAACCATTTGGAATGTTTTATTTTTTACGATCAAATAACACGATACAGTTTTTTTCTAACAAAAGCCATATTTTGGTGTAGCCATGTTTTGGAAAAAAAAGGTTTTAGGTACGTTCAATATAGTTTTATTTCTTTAGTCAAAACACACTTCTAATAATTCGGTTTATCTAGTGTCATCCACTACTATACGTATAATGATTCGAAATAGGTAAAATCGAAAAATACTGTTTGATATATTTAAATTTTGCAATTAACCAATAAAACATTAGCATTCAAAGCTAAGAAGAGGGTTAAGACACTAAACCATTGTCAGAACTCTTCTTAAAACTGAAAAAAAAATATTAGACACAAAGGCGTTAGACGTCACACTGTGGTCTGACACCAATTCGCTAATGAAGCATACTTAATTGAAAAAAAGATATATCGGCTCCGAAACTATTCGGGAATCCCCGAAATAGACACTAGCACAAAATCATATATCTTAAATAAGAGTACAAATAATAGTTTTAAAAAGATTTGCCCCTCGGGACCAGACCGTTGGGCGTTGAAATTTGAAGGCGGCAAATTAACGAATACAGTTTAATAAAATTCATCATGATACAGCCGAGAAGTCGGTAATACTTTTTTTAAAGTTAATTTTTATTAATTGTTGGTCAAGTGTGTTAAGCCTCAATGGTTTGGCGACTTAATAATGCTCTCATTATAACAGCAAACATAGCATGTAAAGTTGCATTTTGTGTTTGGGCATATAAGTTGTTCTTCGTTTCCATCGACATTTGTTTTAAATAGTTTATTTTTTATCTTAAAAGGAGTAAGTATGGAATATTTTGACTAATATGACGAATGTAAAAGGGAATTTGTTGGGCTGTCATTTTTAACTACTTAAAAGAACATCATGATAGTTCGCATACGTGTTTTTTATTATTTATTCACCTTCATTTTTGAACATAAGCTACTTCCAATGAAGGGTCATGTGTCCTATGAATTATATAGTCCTGGCTACAGTTGACTAGGTCGTCTTTTTACTCCAAGTTGATAATCGCTATGCAGCGTACGAAAATCATTTAAAAATAAAACATATCTGTATCAGTCATATGGTTTTTCAGTATAGAAAGAAGTGGCGATGGAAAATAAGAACAATTTATTTTCATTACCTTGGAGGAAGAGGAAGACGGCTATACACATACATAGACATATACAACAAAATATGTAAGTTTTTAACTATGTTTTTTACCTTCGACAGTTAAAATGCTTTTGTAGGTAAGTGTTTGGTCGAATACATAATGCATTTATGTAAACGATTTAAAAATATAATCTTCATTCATTCAATAAATTTGAATCTATTGAATTTTCGGAGTGTAGGAAGTATTCTACCAATACGAAACTACAAAAACTCGCTTAAGGCATCGATAAAGAATATTTTAGGTCAAGTTTATTTAATATGAGACGTGGAAAAACTTTGAGGTAAAGGGCAGGTTTTTGGGATAATATCGTGTACTGATTTTTCAAAGTGTTATGGAAGGTTGCTGTACGTATTGAAAAAGGGCCTCTGTCGGTTCCTTCGGGTCCTAAGTGCATCACCAAAATACAGATGTGAGAATGTCGCATATCTTTGACATAAATATCACTCGCGTTCACGCTCACTTGCGTTAATTGTAATACATCACAGAGGATTACATTTATGTGTTTATTGGGAAAGGGACACAAGACATTTGTAAGCTAAATTCCGAGTTTAAGGTAATAGCCATTAGTATTTTGCCTATATCATACTGTAGTTTTCGTAGATTTATGCCAATCACTTAACACCTATAGTGTATTTATAGTGATGAAAATATCTACGTTTTTCACACCTGGGACATACACAAGAAAAACTTCTATAGCGATTAAAAAGATTTATTGCAAATAAGAATTAAATAGAACATATTAAAACAAGCGTAAATATAGAATGCTGAAGTTACGGAATTAATAAAACTTATAAATACACGTCACTACACACCCATCCATTTATATACTTGTGTAAAATTAACTGAAACCAAAAAATAAAATAAAATTAAAACTTTAAAAATAGACATCTATGAACTACATTATGAACTAATGTTTGCAAGAAACCAAAAACATGAGTTTGTTCGAATTTTGAATATTTATGCGAAAAGACAACTATGGGCACGTGGGTTTTTGAAAGGGTATTCCATGTTCGTGATTTCAGGCATCATTATGATTCAGCGTAATTATGATTAACAATACATAATTATTAGATAAATACAAAATACATAATGAATTACTTAAAATAGTAATGTAAGAGCGGCTAGTATAACCCATAGTTTGTAAACCAAGTTTCCAAAAGGCATTAAATCAAACAATTTATTGATATGCGATAGTTCTCTCGTAATTTACGTAGTCAAAACTGCACTGAGTCCATAGTTACCTAAGCATATCTAAGTACCTAACATTTTATTAAAATTCAGCATCGTTAGGGCCTTTTTAAATTTCGGTCTTTTATTAATTGGAATAAAGTCTACTTCTATATATTTTGTCGTTTAGATGGCAAACACCAAATTAGTATTTTTATTTCTCTGTTTATATGACTTTTACCAACCTTTAATAACAATACGAGTGCATTGAACTATTCTACTGCACTTACCTGAACGGTGGTATTTCTGGTATTTTGCCAACGAATATCTTCTTTTTGTCGTTGAGAGCATTAGTCGATTTGTCATTTTGTTTCGGTGTAGTTGGAGTGATGGTACGGGGAGTGGTGCGGGCAGAAGGCCTCACATCGTCTTGGCTCGGACACTCCGACTGGAAAATAAACAAAAAAGAGTTACATTTATAAGACTACAAATGGGACTTACGTTATTGAGTCATAATATTATATTGCCATAATATTATGTCTTCAAGCGTAACTTAGGAGGTAAAGCGCAACCGACATCTGTTTAAATTAGAGTCATCATACAGATAACCACGATAAAACTTGGTTTTTTGCTGTTGAACATATGGTGCCTCTCATCGAAAAGAAAGAGTTTGCAAGGGAAGAAATAATTAGTTTAGTGACCAAAGCCGAGGGGAAACGTGGTGTAAAATAAAAAATATAGTTTAGTAAAACGAAAAAAAACCGCTTTCAGATGTCAAATTTCAGCTTAGTAATCTAAATTATACAAGGGAAATGGGGGTCTAAGAAAATGGGACTCATAATAACTCTGGAACACATATAGCACCTAGGTATGTGAAATAAGAGTGATATCTAAAAATTGAAACGGTCGTAACTTTTAAACGGATAGTTTATTTATTGAATTCTTCTTGGAGTTTATTTCTTAAGAATCGATTTTCATATAAGGCGCCAGGTGTGAAAAAGATTTGAAGAGTAAAATTTAGTGATCGAATGAACTCGTTACGTTTTTTGTGCGCAACTTATAGTGCGCACCTTTCAAAAATATTTGTTTTCAATTGAATTCTAAAGACTAGAATACTGTATAGGTGTCCCATTTTCCGTAACATCCTGTATTTACGTACAGAGTTTCAATTCTATACGAAAGTACTTAAATTAAAGTTAACATTCAATACTTAGTCAATTTATTGGTTGGTTAGGTACTAATTGAAGCTGAACGTGTTAAACATATTACCATGAGTGGCGCATGAGCATTCTTGATAGCTTCTCGCCTCTGGAATTCAACCTTGGCCATTTCTGTAGCTAGCCACGTCGGGATTTCTGGGATCGCGATTCTTAATGCCAGAACTATCACCAGTACCACATGCTGAAATGCAGAATTGGTTAAAATATTATATACCTATACATATGCAAGAAAGAAATAAAGGGCTTGGCTCTTTAAAGTCTGTTAACATATCTACCGGTGTGTTTTTGTCGAAGACTAAGTATACTAAAAACAAAAAAAAAAAAAACAAATAAATGGCCGCCTTTTGCAAATTGTAATCCAGGAAGTGTAAAAAATAAAAAAAATATTGCAATATCGCGTTCAAATAAAAAAATTGTAACCACTTATACAGGAATCTCGACAATTAGGTTTTATTTAGACAGCTTATAATAATATTCTCTACTTTAATAAATAATTTCGTCCAAGCTATTAGGTTTTGTAAAAAATTCTCATTCTCACCCACCCATACTAAAAATGTACTTATATTCATGCAGTTAAATATTTGTACTGATCGGGAATCGAACCCACAACATCCGACGTTATATAAATACATCTTATAAAGCCAATTCGGGCAAGTATTGTGTAGAAGTTCCGGTACCTCCAAAGCGACGATGACGAGTACGGTCTGTGCGGGCGTGGCGTCCGGCAGCAGGCGGTGCACGGGCCCCGACAGCCCGATGAGCGCGCAGTTCACCAGCACCGCCACACCCACCATTGCTTCCATCGCGTGCTGCTCGAATAGGGGATAATGTGTCAAATTAAATTTTTAAGTTGGCCTTCAAACAGTTAAGAATGAAATTTACAAAAATTTCAGTTCCAAATTAGGATTTTGTAATGTTGTAGTTTAACCGACTTAAAAAGGAGGTTTTTAATCTGACAGATTTGTTCGTCAGTCGTTATCTTCGCCATTAACGAACTTTTATATTTTCTTTATTGAACTCGAACCTACTTGAAATTTTTGGAAAATTATTAAACGTTTCAACAACTAAAGGGCAGCTTATTAACAATCATAGTCAAGATAACACAAATTAGTGAAAACGATTTAATTAGGATAGATTAGTATCGTAAGTGTAAAGGCGTGAGACCTGCCAGCTGCCGATGCTCTTGACGCGCTCGCCGAAGGGGCGCTGCGCCACGTGGCACAGCTTGAAGGCGTCGGCGCGCACCTCGGCCGCGTTGTTGACCAGCGCGCACAGCGCCGCCAGCGGGAAGGCCGACGAGAACAGCACCACGTGGCCCAGCTGCGTCAGCATCTCCAGGTACTCCGCGAACGTGCCCTCGTACTGCGCAAACACCCATACACTCATTACTACCGACCGACCGTATTAACACTAGCCTCATAATTACTTGGGCCTTTTTATAAAAATGCTCATATTTAGAATCTGAAATCTGAACTACAATTCAAATTCAAAACAAAACAATTCAAAACAATTACATATATGTATACACAATATAAAAAAAAACTTTTTTTGCTTATTTATCAATCATCTAGTGATAAAATTTTCATCCTAATTCATTCCCGTCAACAGCCTTTAACAGTCCACTGCTGGACATAGGCCTACCCTTAAAAAAGAGGTTTTGGCCCACTATCACTATACCACGCTGGCCAGACGGATTGGTATAGGGTTTGTTTCAAGTTTTCTTTCTCTTTGCAGTGCTATTGTTCTGCGTAATTTGCCTCCTTAGTCGGCTCTTACGCCAATATTGAAAGGGGAGGGGATGAAAAGGGATGAAAAGGGGTGGTGACACTCTGTATTCTTAATCCGTCACCAAACGTACTACGGACGCACGTTTAATTCAGTGCCTTTTGTTTCATATCATTAAGTATAACTTGAACTCTACCACTCTTTTCGTGCTCTAAAATGATCAACAAATGCACTGGAGCCGATTTACACTAAACTTCAAATATTCCAAATTCTACATCAATCCATCCGCAAACTTTAATTGAAAAGGCTAAAGGATAACGAACCTTAACAACAAGTTTTATCTTTCATTTACATATCAAAGGACTTAAATTTACCTTGAAAAGTTGTGACTCTAACTCCGCTTGATGTATGACCTTCTGTCCGACAAGAGGCTCCGAATCACGGCGGTCATCTTTTTCAGCGGTACCATTGACCAAACTATTCTCTGGTGGTTCTCCACTAGAATTTGTCTTCTTCTCAAACATTTCTGTCAGTTGTGCTGATGTTGGTACTATAAGAAATGGACACTTTTCTACTATATTCCTTAGAACCACGTGATTTTCATTAAAATTTGACCAATCGTCTTCATTAATATTTGATCAACGCATATATATGATCCTCTGACTGAACTTTTTGAGTGATTTGATGTGTAATAGGGTGCAATTTTTTCTTGAACTTGTCAGCTAATTTATGGCGCATAGTACAACATATAAGAAAAGATAGTAGAAGAGTTGCAAATTAACTATGCCTTTTACGAAAATTTAAATAAGATGCCGACTGAGACGTTAGACCAAGTTGAACTAATTGTGCCCTAAATGTAATAATATTGGAATACTAATTGAAAAATAATTATAACTTACTTTTGCTGGGACTGATAGCGCCGAACACATCAACACATATCTTCGCCAATCTCAAGTTCTCAATCACGTATGGCAAGGCGGATTCTTTAAGATTACCGATCACTTGTCTTGTTATTAATAACACTGCTAATTGCTACAAACAAAACAAATAAATGTATACGCTGCCAAGCCGTTCATCTGATCATCAAAAAAAAAAACACATAAACGATGCCAGGAACAGAAAAGAGAAAAAAAGGCCATAGGTTACCTTATATCCAGAAAAACTACTTTACACCCGAGGGACGGCAATATTACTAATTTTTAGTAATAAATGACAAGTACAATACAAAATAAGTAAAATGAAACCTTACCTCTTTTAATTTATCCATATCCTGAAGGTAGAATGCTATGTAGAATAAACTCATAAATGAGTTTACGAACTGAAACTGAAATAAAAAGTAAATAACTAAATAATTGTCCAATAAACTACAATACAAAATTCTATTATTGACATCTAAAGCAAATCTAATGTACCCTACAACATAATCGACACATAATAATGGTATAGACATTTATGAATAAAAATTAGTTAATGTACGTTATACAAGATGAGTTTTAGTGATGTACTTCGTTTATTGAGACCTTTTCCATAGATACAATATATTTATTTTTATAATTAAAATTTAAGACACCTTACACACGGTCGTCTAATTTCAAACAAGGGCAGAGCTTGTACCATGGTAACTAGACTGCTGATATACATAAATGGGTAAATTAAACCCCAAAACGAAGCAAATGCGATTACGATACTGATAGAAACGGTAGGTATCTACGTTAACTTTTGATTATTTGCAGTTACTTAGGAAATACAATAACGTGTTCGTAAAACAGAAGATCAATCGAAAAGAGAAAACAAGAGACAGACAGTGAGAGAGAACAAAAATTGTTGGGAAGAAGTAATTTAAACACAGATGTATTATATATAATTGAGGAAATTTATTTGAACTCATCTTGTACACGGGACAGTAAATAATACTTTTTACGATACGATGAGTTACAATGCACCAAAATAATACTTTAAAGTTTATTTGCTTTTAGAAAGAGAGATAAAATTAATACCCAGTTATTAGCAAAAGATACATAATGATTAAATATTTGGACTATTTTTGTGCAATTAATCATGCTTTCAAAAATAATCCCTCTGCACAGTAGATCATAGATTACCAAATCCTGTGAGATAGAACTATGTGTGAGGCAGTACATGCAAGCGAAATAAGAAGAGCGTGCATCTAACACATCACTGTGCCTCAGATTATTATTCCATTTACCAATCTTTTTGGTTAATACCTTCTCCGTTTTACTAAAAAGCAAAGCGTGATCGAAGCTTAGCTTTTTGGCATGGCGTTAGTTTTTTTTTTTACAGCATTTTTATATACAAACCAATGCTATTTTCACAATCAGGTGATTCTCATACTTTGTCTCGAGTCGATAGTTCTCTGTTAGGAAAAATTGATGATTTTTCAGTTTTTTTTAATTTACATTTTTGTGTCGTCCAGTCCCGTAAGGTAAGCAGTAAAGAGAAAAATAATATGCTCTATAGTATCTTCTACACAGCACTGTGTTAATCTACTGATGTATCTAAAATCTAAATTTTTCTATTTATTTATTGTTTAACTATTTAAATCATTTTTTTTAAATAATTGCAGTCTAGATATTGCTATAGAAGAAAATATTGATTTCCCAAACTATAAATGTCATGCATAAAATATTCAAATATATTGAATCTTATACGACACATCCAATTTAAACGAAATAGGATACATGTCGAGTTGCCAAGCTGTGTATATCACAATCTCTATGTCATCTCTAGTTGGTCGTTTATAGGAATAGTATGGGTTCACTAATTAATGAGATTGTCGCTTCCACTGTTACAGCAAACAAGCAGGGGAACACCAGGGTCAGCTAAGGTGGTGTTAGATCGGTAAGATTGAGGGGCCGAAGGGGTTGAAAATCCTCGAGGTTGAAAGTACTCCATCAGTAAAAATATATATATAACGTATAACATTTAAGAATCTGTGTTGATCACTTGAAAATTTTGTTGCAATTAAGAGATGTCATATTGAACATACAATTTTTTAATAATTGTGACGTATAGGTAAGCTATGTTCATTGAGCTATTGGGTACTAGTCGGGATATGTAGTACAAGATGTCCTACAAAACTCTTAGTGTTACATAATCAACTTGGCTACTTCACATTTTGTTAAATGCATGTGTTAAGTAATACCTACATTGCCCATTCAATACTGAGTTCCGAACTTGTGTTGAGTACAAAACAAGCAATGTAACTAGTACTGAATAGTAGCACTTAACAAAGAGTAAACTAGCTATAAATATAACTTAGTTCTCTTGTTATATAACAGGTTTACTTTATTAATTTTAAAAACAGTTTCAATAAAATATCGATTCCTGTAATCTATCTTATTTTATTGAGTTCCTTACAGGTTAACTAAGATGTAGTGTTGAAGTGATATTAAGCTCCCATTAAATTCCAAATTAACCTGATGGACTGAGGAACGAATCTGTCAATGACAAAAATTGTCTCCATGTATACTGTACTGTATTAATGAGAAACAAACTTGACACGAACAAAAATAATCTTTAAGGCTGGTTGTATATCGTGTCAAAATTTGAGCTTAATCTGTGCAGAACTCTTTGAGTTTTTGAAGCGTACTCAAACCAACTCATTCAATCCTCATGAAAAAAAAAGTGATGACAGCGTAATCGTCGTCGGACTTGAGATTAAGCGATTGCAGGTTCGAACCTCGCCCAATATACTATCGAAGTATCCCAATACGAACACAACTATATGCTAGTATTCCTAAAAGAAGCCAAAATATTTTTAGGGCGCATTGTCCTGACTCTAACCCATGTGTGCAAAAGCTCAAACCTCCTTTATAAGAAAGATTACAGGAATCATTATAACACCATATCACACCCACTCAAAAATAAAACAGAATCACTTTAAAAGAGTTTACATATCGCTTTACCTTTATCGTTGAGCCACCTGGCTATTCTCGCGTAGACCTCCTCTTCGACCGCTATTATAATAGCGAGGAATGCGCGTGGTATCCACGTGAAATATACTATGTTTGTGTCCCACCAATCCTGTAAATAGATGTATTAATTTTATATATGAACAAGGATACGATACATTAGGTAACATATACTATATACGAGGTACTAGCTGTTGCCCGCGATTTCGTTCGCGTGGAATTTGAAAAGCGCTGTCTTAGTGGGTTCGATTCTCGGACCGGGCAAAATTTTATAGGGTTTTTTGAGAGAAAAAATAGCTTAAGTTACTCCTTAAATAGACAGCTACCTGGTAGTATAATATTATCAGAATCGGGCCAGCTGTTTTGAAGATTACCAGGAACAAATAGACAGATAAAAAAAAATTTAGGCATAGGCATCGTGCAAATAACCGTATGAGCATTTTGCCTGGTCCGGGAATCGAACTCGAGGCCTCGTGGATTTTAGGCAGTCGCGGTACTACACCACTAACGCAGCACTTTTGAAATTCTTCTGCTTTTCGAAAGCTTGTGTAATAATAACCTAACACATCTTACACACGGCTATAGTAACCAGACCGCTGATAAACATGTTTAATATTTCTAAATACATACATATATACCCAGACACAGAACAAATGACAGTCATCACACAATTGTTTCTCCTTTGTAGGAATCGAACCCACGATCTCCTGGGTCACTAACTAGTAGACCAACAGGCTGGTCTAATATGATGTGTTTGTTAGTCGCTAGACCTAAGATAGTTTAAGAATAGTCAGTCCCCGGTACTACGTGCCTGGGCCCTGAGGAAGGCGCAGGTGGCGGCGGCGGCGACGCTGAGACACAGCAGCATGACCGGGAACGACACGGTGTGGCGCCACGCGCGCCGTCGCCACGCCGCGTACTGCGGCTCCGGCCGCCCCGTCACCGCGCTCGTGCTCATCTCGCCCTGGTACACACAACATCTATTACACCATTTTATTTATTTTTAACAAATAAGATTACAATTTTGGACCAAAGCGCTCAAATGTTAACTTACTTAAACTAATTTAATACTAAACATTATACAATCAATGGGTTTGTTTAACAATTATAGTACAAAAATTAAAATAAAACAAAAACGAGTACATAATATTACAATAATATACCAATAATTTATCTATAATTATATTCCAAATACATAATTATATTTCGATGAATTCAAGTGCAGGAATACTCTTACAGACATTTTATTTGACTTATCACTGAATATATCGACATCCTGATGTCCTTTATTATAAAGTACATAAACTGAAAACAAAAATACCTGGAAAAGCGGTCTCGGTTCTACTAGTAACTCATCTCGTTGATCCAAGGTGCCCCATTTATATGCTAGTACATTTGAGTACCTGAAATAAAAATTTATTAAATACATTAATACATCCAATGTTCATTTTTTTTTCAAACACAACTCCCGCACTAGTAATATATACTGTGTCGCGAAAGACTTCCCATACATACGTCAAACCGACATAAAATATCCCTGATTCAAAACAACAATTTGATAAAGTGTTGTCCCATGTGGGTATCGAACCCACAACACTCAGCGCAGTAGGAAGTTGCGAGGTGACCGCTTAAAACAAGAGTATACTTTTTAGTAGGATTTTATTGCGAGGAATCCGAATCTGGCCGCAGAATTGCTCTATCACGTCAGGTTTTTGAGATATTTTAACCTAAAAGTGCAAACAACGAGGTTACGTAATTCTTCAAATTTTAGTATGCCTAAAAAAGTACACAGGGTATTTTAAAGTTGAAGTCTTCTGCTTTCAAATGGTGTTGAGTTGCTTAAATATCTTTTTTTTTTCGCCTCAAAACCAATTAAATACTGCCGACCTCGAATCAGCTAAGCCTTTAAACTAAGCAAACCCTGTTCACTACTATCTCCGCGATAAAAATATTTTCCTGTGTAATATTTTCGGACATTGACATACAACGCCACCTAGTTTTAAACTAAGCAGAGCTTGTACTATGAAAGCTGGACTTTTTTGAAAACAGATACATATTATTCATAGAAAATATGACCACAATATGCATATAGTATAGCTTTTTATTGTTTTTCACTCTCCAACATATTCTTAAACCCATGTTCAGCGAACGTTAACGTTATTTAATGTTCACATACCTTTTCCATGTTTCTAAATAGACGCACGCCCACAGCACATTAAAGAGAGAAAACAACACATAAGCTATATCCTTCCAATTATCATTTGCTGTACCGAGCCAAATCTGTAATTAAAAAAAAACTTAGTCCCAGGATACACGTCCATATCGACCTCCATCTAGACCAGGGATTCCCAAAGGGGTCGACAGGTTTCCCAGGGGTCGACATAAACGAAAACTACTTTTAGGGGTCGCCGAGGTCTAAAAATCGACCCCTATTAATTAACACAAGTTTTTAATTGAATCTTTCAAGATACTGTATCAGTTGTGTTAAGTATACCAACTTGTTATAAGAAAGACTAATATTTCAGTAGGAAGTGTTATTGCAGTAATTTTAAAAAACTCTACAAATCGATAAGCGTGCAGTAATTTGGGAATGGTGGTCTGAGGTATCAGTTCATTTTAGAAAAGGGGTCTCTAATCCAAAATAGTTTGCGAATCCCTGATCTAGACTAATAAGGGTCATTAGGTAAAAATGTTTACATTGTAAATTTACAACGCTGAATTTCATTATTGCTATTTTGTTGTACGTAAAAACTTTCAATGTTTTTTTAGTAAAATTACAATAGTTATTTTTAACAGTGTAACTTACCCAAAATATGAAACCTACGGCGGCTGGTATTGTCAATGATTGCGTGTAATGCCCTAACCAGGCAAAGTACATTGCTATTTTAACACCAAAATATTCACTTATCTCATCTGAAAACATACATGTAAAGGTCATCAGATCTAATTTGCAAGGTTGCTGTTACAACAGGTTTGAAAACATTTACGTCGTTATTTTATGACATCATTATTGTTAAGCATGAAGGCTGAATATAATCGAGTAGCATTTACTCGTGTTCTATGTGCAAAATATACTTTGAGCAACAGTGACACTAGTCTCTTACAATATCAATCAATTGAGCCTCTCGATAGAGTTATCGTTCTGTTAAAGGGCTCGCACTTTACCGCAATATTCTCTCCACTCCAATCAATTATATTCTAACAGACAAAGACAAAAAAAAGGGATAGTATTTCCTTAATAGCCAAAATGTTCTGTTCACTGCCCCTCCCTTCATCAGTTTTGCATTTGCATTGCAAATGTGAATTTTTAACAAGCCCTTCGGATACGCATATGTATATGTATTATCCGTGTACTTCTTTAATGCTAATGTATACTATCTTAGTTGTAGGCAATATATAAATAATCGGCTCCTATAACATATTTGGTAATAATACTTTTATCCTTAAGTCTTGTAACTTACCTAAAGGTTGAGGAGAGAACAAGGTCTTCACCCACTTCTTTCTAAGGCTCTCCAAGGCGCTTCTTTCATGTAAAGGAAACATATTCGCCACGACACCTCTGCTCACGCATGCTGGTACTGCGATAAAACCGCTTACAGTTATATTTTGGAAAATCTACACATTAGATCCTAATACTAATTAAAAACAGTCGTTTAGACATTTATCTAATTTAATATGTACTCGTTCTTGTAAAAAAAGTACACAAAAAAACGTAGACCAAAATACTGTGAGATTTAAATGTTTTATAAAATGATGGCATTCAGGCACTTTATGTACTAAGTAGCGCTTTGTTTTAAACAAGCTACATAAAAAGTGCCAAACACGTTCATCAAGGCTTTAGTAAAATATTCATTGGTCGAGGACAATGGTGCGCATTAAAATTAATGTACATATTTTCATTGTTAATTTTGTCTAATTTGACAAATTTTGTTTAGATGCATATCGCATCTTCAGAATAAAGAGAATCTTCTCTTCTTCTCATCTTCAGAAGTAATGAAATTCAAAAAGATGATTGTAATAATGTGATCTAAGCAAAGCTATCTAAAATATAGGCTGTTCCTTTTTAAAAAAAATAATTAATGCCTTTTCTCCACAAGGTTTTAGAGTTGGCTTTCAAGTTAAGTTTTGAGCAGTATCAGAAGTGTCAGGAATTTTAAGTCAAGTCTTGGTACGATATGTAATATCATCTGATTTTAACACACTATTGCAAGATACAAAACTTACCAATGCTTTGTCCAGGTCTCAATGTAAGAGCGGGTTCTAAGGCGTGTTCATCACCTGGTTCAGCGCGTGCTGACTCCAATACATGTTTTACTAAAGCTGCTCGCTCTTGAGAGTTCAACAGTTCCGATGCGGTTGAACTCTGCTCAAAGTAGCCGATGGATCATGGTCCAAAGAAAAGTTGGATTAAAACAACAATTATAAAACTACTAAATAACTACCACGTGATGAGTAATATTTAAATATATCTATACCATAGCGGTTTTGAAAAGGCATAAAATTTCAGAATCCACTTAGCCTGAGTCTGTTTTTATTTCTATCACATCTTTACAGATCGAAAATTAATTCGTTTATATATATAATTATATATATATAATTATCGTAATTTACGTTATACAGATTAATTTTTCTTACTTTTTATTGTAGTTCTTTCTAGGCTTCAGTGTCTTTAATTGTTAACACGATAACATGCCATGATTTAAAGGAATGACCACATTTATCCAGACAGAATGTAAGACAAGACTCGAGTGTAATTGATACCATATCTAGTTTATAAGAATGTGTATAACATTATGAGGGCAATGAAGACTAAAATTGAAATATCGATGATCAGGTATAACGTAAGTTGTTGTGTTGAAAATTCGCCACAATTGAAACCCGTTGTCGAAACTTATTTTCGCTTCTATTGTATGGACATAAAGCTTATTCAAATAACATACTCACAACAATGCAACCCCCAACAACATTAGTAATACCTCCATAATCTACGAATAGTATAATATTGGCGCCATCACGAACAATATGCGTGTTTGAAATCGTTACTCCTGCATAACATAAATAATTCATACAAATATTTATTCCAGCAGATATGACGGCGACGAGTGCCGCTTCAAAAATCCCGCATTTATAGAGTATCAATTTAAATTAATTTCATATTTTATTATTCATACTTTCATTATTTAGCAATTGATTATCATCGCACGGCTAGGCTTAATGTGCGGCTAAATGTATATGATTATACGATACACTTTTTTGTGATGATGTAGTAGCAGCTTGTGTTTATTGAAGACCTTAAAGTGACGGAAGGAAGAACTTATTTTTATGCTAATTTTCAATCGAGAAGATGGTTTTAAATTATCTACAGCATGGAATGCAGAGTCAATAAACATGTCACCTTTTTTATGGGAGGGAGGGCAAACGTGCAGACGGGTCACCCGATGGATAGTGACAAACGCCGCCCATAAACGCTTACCTCGCTTTTATACGTAGTCGGATAAACACTAGAATAGGATACGCACATTTGTTTACAGAATGGGGAGACTGTTAGTACACTGTGATCCACAATTTGTTGTTTTAAGTCTAGATGTTCTTTCAAAAAATAGATAGTCTCTGACGGTACAGGTACAGGCGGCAAATGAGTTTTTACAAAACTCGAAAATATGTCTGTATATTTAAAACTTCTTACCACACTGACTCGACGATGGAGCAGCTACACCGCTTTGCCAGTCCATCAATGACATCACATCAACAGCCTTTAAGAGTCCACTGCTGGACATAGGCCTCTCCTTAGAAAGGAGGTTTTTGCCTACTATAGTCCAAGATTTATAATACCTATTTATCGCGGTAAACTGCCGTTTAGATTTATAAATATAATAAATAAATAGCCTTATCTGTCTTAATCATAGTGCACAAAAATTGGATTCCGTTTCGCTCGTTTTGTAATACGTATTTTAGGAGTTGTTGGTATCCCCCTGGGATTTCCTATCAAATCATAGATATGAGGGGTTAAAAGCTTTTACTTTCTTGTGATATTATCAATGTTCGCCTAAGGATAAAAGGGTATTCCGTCAGCGATTGCCCGTTATTAGGGTTTTCTCTTGAAACGAAAACGTATGTGCGTGAATTGGTAGTGAGTAGATTTTTTCTACTCAGTATGATTGAGAACATTTTCTCTTATGTGTATAGTATTAAAGAACCCAATATTCATTATATTTATCCATTAGTTATATTAAAACCTACCTAACCTCAAAGTAAACGGAGACGAGTTCGAAACCAACGCTCAAACTCACGACAACCACGTAAAACATAAGGTCGAATGAAAGAAGGCTCCCCAGAAAGTTGCAAAACTTTTTGCTTAAAAAATGTTGCCCAGGATAATACATTCTTAAAAGCAAAGGTATTTGTAAGTATTTATTATCGTCTGCAACATTTTTAACTTAATATATTAGTGTTAGTAAGTGATGTGAATACCGAATACAAAGTACAGATAGAAGCTTTCAATACATATTCGTGAAGTGCGGTCGGTATTAATAATACAGACAAAGTACCTATAGAGATAGATCCGGTAGATTTCTTTTAGGAAAGGAACGGTAAATGTATTTCATCCGGAATAAGTACTTAATGGCATTGAACCAAATAAATTCTTTTATCGCTACTAATATTGGCATAGATCTAACTTACTTCCACTTCACTGATCAATTCATAGTTTGTAGAACTATCCTCAAGACAGACAACAAAAACCTTTCGTACATTGAGCAGAATTATTATATATGTTATGTGATCATAACATAGTCTAATGACTATGTCAGGATAAAAGCACAATCACCGAAATCGCTAGGAGGTGAAAAGAGATTAGCAGAGTAGTAAAGTCGCTAGTAAATTTGAAGTTTATGGTATGTGGATTTCGCAGCAGCTTATACTATTCAGCTGTCTAGAGTATTCAGAAATGAACTTTTTATTATCTATGATACACGTATGGCTGCGGCTACATCGTCTAATATTAAAACGACAGTGAGCACTTCCAAGCGGGAACTTTAAATTATTTAAGTAAGTGAAATTTCCTAAGTAACGGTTTTAGAGTTTTCATATTATTATCTGAGCGAATGAATAGTTTTCCTAGAATAAATAGTGGACATTTTACTTAAATGGCTAAGTTAACAACGGCATAAATATGGAATATGATGGACGATCTCGAGCTCTCTTTACGGTAAGCTCTTCCTGTAGGAATTCGAATTAAAAACACCGTAAGTACTCCCGCATGGAATTACTTGCGTGGTTAGTGTTATTCACAATACAGCTTCTTCTGCATCATGTCTTTATTTCTTCTTTATGATCTAAATACATAAAAGTAAAATGGTCGGTCCGGACATTTCTACGTTCAAACTTCTGTCTAGTATGGTAAGCTGGAGATAAGGTGAAAGGGCGGAGTACAGTTAGTAGAAAACATTCCTATGATTGGCAGAACAATATGCAATGCACACTTTGTCTAGATTTTTATAGACGTTATGAGCTTGGTAAGAAAAAATTATGTATGAGTGTCAAAAGTCAGTCATGATTTTTTTTTTAAAGGGTTAAAAGAAATATATTTTTAATGTAGACTACTTTTTATCATTAGTTATCTGTGATTTCCCCTGCAACAAATTTGCCAATACTAAACTGTGGTTTACACCAGAACTACATTTACACTAAGCCTGATCCATATTTATATGATCTTAAGGTTCTAAATGCAATCATTGACTTAAGTAGACGGAGTCGACCTCTTTTATAGATGGCCTTCTATCTATCGGAAATAATTCGGCGATCTCATCAATCTAGGTCAGATGTCTAATCAATCGATCCCATGTATTTTTAGGATCCCATAATGCTTCCACATAATTTATCTTCTTGGACATTGATATCTACACTAGATGTCATGTAATCTTGTTTATTTTATTTTATTTTTAATGCTAAAAAGTTTTAATTAAAGTATATAATTTCTTGCCATGGAATTTCATTTCTGAACTGAAAAAAGAACCTAGCTATTGGCAGCATTAGAAGACGACGGGACAAGAATTTATTGTCAGAAGTAAAGTAACAGAAACTAAGAATATCTAAATAACACTATCAGTAAAATGATTGAATTACCTTTTGAAAACAATGCATATCTCGGACTGTGAACTCCTTGTATCCGCCGCCGAACTCTGGCTTCAACAACTTGGGTAGATGCATCTCTTCAGCAGTTTGGAGTAATCTGAAGCAAATTGTTTAAATAAGAACCGTCACAGTAACTCACAGGAAAAAGAAGATTATCTGCTAACTAGAATGTACTTTCATTGCGTGTCTTTATTTATTAGTTTAGTTTAGTTGTTTTATTTTATTGGTTATTAATATTTTAATTAGCGCATAATTTTATTTTGCTAAATATTTGGCAAAACAGAGATTGTTGCTATTGTATGTGTTAATCTATGACTTTAGTCATAAGAGACGATTACAAACCACTTATAAAAATTAAATAAAGATATTTTGAGTTTGTTGATAATTTATGTGTATTCAATGAGACAGCCGTCTGCAGTATTGGGTATATTATTTATATTTTGTTAAGTAGTCTATGCTTACCTGTACGTGTACTTTCATAACATTATAAGCGACAAGTTTAAAAAAAAAAATACAACAAAACTTAAACTTCTTTTACATCATACTTAGATCAGAGCCTTCACGTGATTAAGGATTTATATAGCCTCCTCCCAAAACCGTTATAAGACGACCTCGCAGATACCATATTATTTCATTGTCATCAATGTTACTGGCATACAATTCAATTGCAAAATTTTACCCATACAAAAAAAGGCAAGTTAATTGAAAGCTTGTAAAAACGGGACTATTGTGAGTTCACCGCTTGAGTTTCTTTCTCAAATATTTGTATAACGACCGACAAGGTCACCCTTCTATACCCACTTAGCTTGTCTGAAGCGGGAAACTGAAGTATTTCATAATTGGAAACGTTCTCGAATTTCGTTCTGTATTTGGGTCTTAAATTATCAATGACGCAAGATTTAATCTCTCAAAAATCTTATCATGTTTAAACACAAATATCTTTACGCACCAAATATATTAAACAATACATCGTAAATAAGCCAATTTCTTTGATAAGCACTCGTGTTCTATTGTCAGTATTTTCAAAACGTCGCAACAACAATTTGGTGTAGAATCACTAACGACGTTTAGTCAATAATGGCTATTCTGTGAAGCCACAACACTGGTTTTATGTAATATTTTAATTAAAGATGAATAAGGCCAATTAATGGCGTGTTTGAATGAACTCTATATATCTTCAAAAGTATATCTATTCACCCAGATAAGCCTAACTAGTAACTGAAAAAAATGGCTTATAAACCTTTTGTTAAAAATTAATTACAGGAACGAGTAGTGTCAAATATATAAATGATATTTTAATAATAAAACAATTGAAAGTTGAGAGCAAAGAACGTCCATTTACGTCAAATTTTTATGTTTTATCCAGGGAAAAATATTTTTTTGTATTTAGTCTATTGCCGTACTTTTCAGGACACGCAGATTGGTGATCTTGCCTTCTTATAATCAATCTTCTATTGTGTTGGTCTATATTTACTTGTAGTGTTCCCGAGGACCATAGACCTTTAGCCCTAAATTTAAGCCTATTGATCCTTCTTAGAGCTATGCTAATAAAAAAGGGCTTTAAAAGACTCTACAAATTGAAAATGCCTATGAGCCCATAAAAGTCTTTAGGCTTTTATTGCGACTGGGGTTTTTTTTTGAACAACAGGCTTATATTAGGGACTATTATATATATTTTGAGACTCAGTCTAAGTAAGCCATCATATAAAAACAACAATTATATTATGAAAAAGGAAAGACAATTATAAGTTTACCTAGATATCGCGAAAACAATTAAGCAACGATAAAAGGCACATTGAGGCGATTTGCTTTCTTTTAAACAAATTTCTAAATATCGGAAAACGATTTTTATGGAACTGGGATCAGATATAGATAAAATATCAAATGCCATATTAACACGCTTGTTTGACTTGAACAGATGTACTTTTGGTTTTAACGTAGAACTTTTCAGTTTATTAAACTTTAAATACCTATACAGACACGTTTCAATTAAGAAAATGGATCAATTTGAAAATTATTAAATAGCAATGGAAGGAGCATCTTCCGAAAAGTAAATAATAGCGAAAAATCGACAATATTTAAGAGACATCGAACAAAGAGTTAACATAAAATAAAAAGTAAGTAGTAGTTACTTATACTCGTACAGCTACAGCCTCGAGGACTAAAAGCTTCATAGCAATAAGCAATATAGCGTTACTGTTGTTAGGCCGGCCTTAAAAAAGTCAGGCCTTTGCAAGACTTTGGACCTAAAAAAAGAGCCTTAAATAGGCCTAGCCTAAGGGACTAAAATTCTTTATAGGTTTTTAGCCTATCAAGCCCCTTAATTACGAGTCTAGCCTTAAAAAAAAGGCTTAAAGCCCCCGGGAACACTATTTACTTGTATGATTATATTTTGCCAGCCTGGTATAGTAGGCCAAAACGCCTTATGCCATAAGGCGTATGGAGAGGCCTACGTCTAGCAGTGAACTATTAAAGGCTGTGTGTGGTTGATGATGATGATATACAGCCTTGGCCAAAAGTATTAGGCACCCTACATTTTACTTAAAATAAAGTAAAAAAACAAATTTTACTTTTTGAATTGATTTATTACAATTAAATTACACAAAAAAGAATGAAAAAAAACTTAAAATCTAGTCGGTCCACCTTGGGATTTAATTACTGCACTAATTCTAGCTGGCATGCTGCGTACAAGCTTAGTACAATCCTCCCTTGTAATGGCATGCCATTCTTGTACTAACGCATTTTTTAATATCGTTTTCGATGTGATACTATGCTCTTTAATCTTGCGCTTCAAAATGCTCCAAAGATGTTCAATTGGGTTCAAATCTGGTGACTGCGCTGGCCAATCAAACAAGTCAATGTTGTTTTCGGTAAACCAACGCATCGTAGTCGCTGACTTATGACAAGGTGCATTGTCTTGCTGGAATATAACTCCCTCTAAGTTGGTATTGCCGAAAATACTCGTTAGCGAAGGCATAAGCGCAGTTTTAAGCACTTTTATGTACTTTTCGCTGTTCATACGACCTTCGCAAACAAACATTTCGCCAACCCCATCAGTAGCCATGCAACCCCAGATCATTATGCTGCCTCCTCCATGCTTTACTGTCGGTACGACGCAATCTAGATAGTATTCTTCGCCCACACGTCGCCTCACGAAGGTCACACCTGGCGTTCCAAATATCTGTTGAAAAAAACACTTTTTTTAAACTGCCTTAACTTTTATTATTTTAGTTAAATAAATAACTGACCATGATTATTAATAACAAAAGCAGTAAAATTTACTTACCTCAAAGTTAGATTCGTCAGACCATACCACATTGGCCCAATCTTCCTCAGTAAAATGTTGATGCCGTAGAGCCTTTTCAAGTCGTTTTTTTTTTAGCTTCTGAAAGCCAGGGCTTTTTCCTGACTTTGCATCCTTTTAAGCCTGCTTCTCCAAGTCTCCTTCTGGTGGTCCGAGAACTTATTGGCTTTCCAGCCTCTTCGGACAAAGTAGCAGCAAGCTCTGATGATGTTTTCTTCCGATCTTTCATAGATTCGAGTATTAATTTTCTATCCTCGCGCTTCGAAGTCACACGTTTTCTGCCTGTTCTTGGTTTATTAGCGTGACTGCCGGTCTCAGCAAACCGTTTGATAACAGATTGCACAGCGCAACGCGAACATTTCACTAACTTAGCAATTTCTTTTTGCGACTTCCCTTGTTCATGGAAAAGTTGTATTTTTACTCCGTTTTCCAAACTAATTTCACTTCTTTTCGGCATTTTTAAATAAATTACGCGTCAATTTAATCACTATGTTAGAAATAAAAGCTTGTTTACTCGTTAGAGTCCTGAACACAAGTGACCAAACATTGACTGATAAGAACGCATAAAAACAAATCCTTTTATTATCAGTCACCAGGTGATTTATGACCATAACAGATAGCTGCTTGCTTTTCTAGGAAGTTATTTGTGACCCCGGCATGCCATTTAAGATAAGCATTTATTATTGTTCAATCAGTAAACATAAATTGTGCATTTTTCTGGGGTGCCTAATACTTTTGGCCAAGGCTGTATATGTATTTTACAGTATTCTTTAAATGTTAATTTTAACCCATAGGATTAGTTTATTTTATTCTAATTTGAATGGGACAGAAAAGAAATAACTTATACCCTTGCATATAGTTGACGGAGTTTTGCGGTAATAAACATTAATCATAAAGCCAAATTGAGAACTCCTCCTTTGTTAAAAATACCCTTAATGGTTCTCCTATTAACCAAAAGCAGAAGACCGATAGAATTTATAACAAGCATTTTATTTCACTGGTTAATTGAACTCGAGAACTAGTGATTTCTCTTGAGAACCCCGCTGAAATTACTACAAAAAACGACAATACATGACCTCAATAAAGTCTTAAAGCCCTAATTTATTATAATATACGCAATAAAGTAACATAAGTAAGTTTGTACATTAACTTTATCAGTTAGTATTTTGGGTTTATTCGTTATTTTAATTAAATAACATCTATGTCTTGCAAGTAGACCACAATTAGCTTAATACGTATATTCGCGTGGCATCTTGGTAGTAGAAAATAAAAGTTCAGTAGCATGTCTTACAACTTGTTTTACATAAGCAGGCTTAAATCTCTAAAAATATTTACTGGAACACATTTAAAAACTCATATTGTGCCAGTAACAACCCAGTAAACCGCCCTTTAATAGTATAATATAATGGGGCTCTTTCGCCAAAGGCCAAAAGGTTTTTATGAGAGCCCTTTAAAATCCTACACAGCTACAATAACGGTGAAACTCCACAAGGCCATTAGATTCGGGCCGAATACATTTGCCATTCTGGGTATAACTACATAATATTGAGCGTAGAGAGCACATACACAATTTGTCCTAATTAAATCTTTAAAATTCATAACACGTCTATAAAAACTAGGAGATGTGTGTGATATCACTAGGGTCGCAGACGGCGGTATTGTTAAAGCTTGTGTGACTAAAGTGATATGAAGTCAGTGTGCTACGGCAATAAATTATAATTTTTAATTAATATTAATTATAATTTCAGGGTCACTTTGGCCAAAGTCAAATTGGCCTCGAAGAAGCTCGGTGTGTAGAACAGATCAAACGCCGCAACAGTGTCCAATGTTCAGCAAAGCTTACTAATAAAAACGTAATGGTAAATGTTTCGTGATCTGTCTGTGTTGTTCACTATAGCATTCTCAGGTCTAGTCAGGCAATAAGAGCAGATCTTTACTGTGCCGAACTTCAAACAATGATTGTGAAATTGGCAGTTAAACAGCCCCGACTAGTGAATCGATTTTCACCATTATTGCTCCATGATAACGCAAGACCTTACACTTCACGAGAAACCGTTGTAACTCTACAGGAACTGCAATTAGAAACCATCCGTCATCCTCCGTACTCCGAATACCTTGCTTGACTACCATTTTTAGTGTGATTTGGTCAATTTTCTACGTGATAAAAAAATTCTTCCCAGGAGGCAGTACCAAATGCTTTCAGACAGTTTGTCCAATCATACTTTATCCCCTAACAACACAGATTTGCAACCAAGAACTTCTAGGAACTGATTTTAATTAATTGTTATTTATTTGATGGTTACTATAGACAAATTAAAAAATAATTAATAATAAGAGAGTTCAATTGGCTTAGTTGTTCAATAATACTTGATAGTTATATATATATATATATATAGAGATACTCATTAGTCATCAACTATAGCTCAATACTATAGCATTTTTCATTACAAACTTGTAATGAATTCTTCAGGTACTTAATTTTGCGATCGATTCTAGTGTAAGAGTAAACAAACAGGTAACTTACACATCGTCGTCAGCGGTGATGTAGAACGCAGAGCATTGTGAAGAGGCATGTTGTCGCACACACACACGCAACTTCGGCCGACTTCCTCGCAACTTCTGGAGTAGCCAGAGCAACATGCTGTCTGGGAGACCTAAGGAATTAAATTATATTGATAAATGTGAATTAATAATAGTAAATTTTGTCTATTTAGGCAAAACATACTTTTACGGCGCATCATCGTCATCATCATCAACAGTCTAATAGGCCACTGCTGGACATAGGCCTCTCCTTTGTCAGGAGGTTTTGGCTTACAATACCACGCTGGCCAGACGGGTTGGGATAGGGTTTGTTTTAAGTTTTCATTCTCCTTGCAGTGCTGTTGTTCTGCAGAGTTTTCTCCCTTAGTTGGCTCTTACCACGGCTCTTACACGCGGAACCCCACGAAATTACGGCGTATAGTAGTTGGCACTGGTACAAGATAGGAAGTCTAGAATGTTTACTGCCTTTTTGAATTTCTACTTTGGCACTGCCTTTTTATACACCTATATTAAATACTGTACCTACTATACTACATTACTATCGGCAGCACATGGTCGATTTTTTAATAACTTAATATAAATATCATAAGAAATGCCCGTGAACAAAGCAATACTCACAAAGTTTATTAAAATCTATGAAACAACTTTTTTAACTTCTTATATAGACTTGGAAATTCTGGAATTAAACTAAAGATAAGTAATGCAATGGATGAAATGGAATCAAAATGGTTTTATTCGAAAAGATCTGAATGGTTGGTAAGTAATATAACTCCACGGCATCTAAATCACACCGATTCAAATTGTTACACATGACTTAATCGACATGTCGTGTGTCAAACTTTATCGACAAATTTACAATCAGTCGTTTCTGTAATATTATTACATACATTTGTTTGTTTTACCGTACTCGTTTACCATGATATTTTAAGTTAATTTTAATGATTTCGTTGTTAGATTAGGCCTACTACAGGTACCACGATTAAAAACACGCAACATACCCTACCTAATGGTAATGCGTATGGTTTTGAACGCATGTTTAGTCGCTTTAAGTTTTCGTCAGATGTGAAACATTAAAAATCTCCAGGTGAATTTAAACTTGCCTTAAAATGAGGACAAAAAGATGTTATTGGGAAGAAACCGTTTTAAGCGCTATGGTTTCTTTATGAGTGTAAAGTGTGTACTATAGCACTGTATACCCTAGTCGTGAGGTTTTGTATGAGTCCGAGCTTTAGTCTAATTAACAGGATAACCGCAGTAGCACACTCGTACCATTGCAGGTAAACGGTAATTGATTTCTCCTAATCTTTTTTGAAATGTAATGACAATTACATTAATGATACGAAAGCGTTTTAGAATTTTCTTTTAATGAGCATTAACCTGAGCACATACGTCACAGTTACTGATATCCCAATGACATTCGGAAAAAACAGGTACACACTACTCGTATTTCATATGTGTACCTACATAATAAGCCTCAAAACATCAACGTATATACGTATAACCAATCGGTAACGGTCTTAATTCAACACTATTACTGTCAAGCTAAAAATAACGGAATAGACAGATTATTGCACGAAGTCGAGTGAATGAAACCTTAGCGGGTAAAAATTAAAGAATTCGACTGGGCGGATTAAGCGGTCGCCACTGGGTTTTCTTTGTGTCCGTTTTTCAAGTCATGAATGTTTGTAAAGTCCTCCGCGACACAGGATATATTCCTAGTGCGGAAGTTGTTTTTTAATTATAATCATTGCCTCCAGCGCATTGCAAACAAAATTTTATAAAACCTTTTAGATCTAAAACGTCACTTTGTTTTGACAGTAGATTCTTACTCACTGCACTCAGCAACGAATAAATTGACAAAAAAGGGGGATAAAGCCCAACTAAAGTTCCTTATAGTTTAAACAAGAATAAAAGCAGTAAACGTACTTGGCATTCAAATCTAAACTGGTAAAATATCTGACATACGACGCGCTCTGCGCTTATAGCATGCAGAATCTGGCGTGAAGCTAGAAATGTTAGGGAAAATATACCAGCAGTGAAGTTCCGAGATGTAGATATTGTTATGATATGTTATGTATGTTATTCTTATGTTAAATGTAGATAGATATTGTTGAAGGACTATTTAAAAAAAATACTTTTACCAAAACTTAATGCTTGTTACTTTTGTGTTTGTTGCAAGTTATATTAGATTTGCAGGAACATAATAACGATTAAACGTTTTTCCGTCTTAAAATCTAGATAAAAGTCTACATAGTCGAACGTGAGACTTTTTAGTTTGTGAGCTCTAGTCGACATACGCAGATGGCCAATCTTTATATCATGTAACTGTCATTATTTTTTTGATAATAGACGTCTATTATCTAATTTTCAAAATATAATGACAGTTATTATCACGGGAACAAAAAAATTGTATGGTTCAGTTTCAAGCATTATTTTGTTTCACATCACAATAGATGTAAGTATATTATGTCATTCAGCTACGTACAACGGTTGGCAGAATTCTTTTCAAAAGCTACAATACTGCATTTCAATGCTCTAAATAAGACCAGTGTGTCTAAATTTTACAGTCCAACTCGTTCCAAAGCTGTCCAATAGCTATATCATTCTGTCGAGGTCATTTGATAAAACACCGATTTTGCCTTCGTTATCGTTGATTGACAGTCTACGTTAACGAAATGTTTTTTTACAAGTTGCTTGGGTTGGGAAGCGATGGTGAAATAAAAATGATTGTCAAAAAGAACACAAAAACATTTGTCTGTATTTTAAATACTATAAAATCGTGTAACGTAGAGTGTACGAACAAAACATTTGACTTAGATGAGAAGTTGTAAAGTTTATGTTATAATTTTTACACGTAGGTACATAATTTAATGCAGACATGAGTTAACCACTTTTAGAAATATGGTCTTTTAGCATATCTATTTTAAAAATATTAAAATTGTAACGTTACAGCTGGCAATTTGTAATGAAAGATATGTAATATATTATGTAGTTAGAATGTAGTTGTGTGTGTGAATACATTTCTGTTGCAAAATCGCTAATGCTCTTTTATTTATTTTTTTAAGTAATATTGTTTTTTATCAAATTGAATGGTGGTCTTAGTCATTAACATTTTTTCTTGTAGCGATAACCCACATCCATAATGGCAAACAATAAACCTCACAAAACCTCAAATAAACATAACCTAACATTGCCGTCGCTATGAAGGGCTGAGCACGCACCCCTTCTGGTCTACTTGTTTATATTCTAATTAGTTCAGTCATTCTTCGAAACACAATGTGCGCTTTAATAGGTTGCCAGCATGAACGGTATTCGCTATAAAATAAACGCGACGGTCTAAAACTGCAGTGCACCAGTCGGGCATGTTCACTGGCGCTTTGGAGTTGCGTATACATATATGTAAGTTCTGCCAAAATTTCCATTACAGTATAGACACTCCGATCGGAACAATACTTTCTTGCAGTATATTACCATCAGGCGCACAAGTTATATTAAAATAAACATTTAAGATAGGTATCCCATCCTAACCTACATATTCCTTATTCACACAAGACTTCCGATACATTAAAGGAGAACGCGCGACTGAATGACACTTCCGAGACATTGCACTTAAATATCAGAACTCTTGTCAGAGCCCCACACGCGTGGGTGTCGAACACTAAGCTGTTAAACATGTATGTGTATTTCGAAGAGCCTTAAGAGTTTTGTTTGATTGGGTTTACACCTTCCTTTAAATTATTCTATTGTGAAGTGTATACTAAATTATTATCACTATAAAATGTTACTAATACTCTAGTAGCTAAGACTTTATGAATTATATTTTATTAATTTGACTTTATTAATGATGTCATGAACTTTTATTGTTGTTGAACGTTGGTGAATCAGACTTAAGTTCATCCGAAACACCTTAGACAAAAATTGAAGATCAAGTTGCCGACAGTAATAAGAGAGGAGATAAGAGTTTTTGCCGCTGTTTCCAAATAACCAAATAACTATTGGGTCTTTACCTATGAAAGCTGGAGATTTGTCTGAAAATTTTTAAATATAAACATTTTGCTAATTTCTTATTTTGGCTAATCAAAGTACTGGCCCAAATTATCTATACAATTTATTTATTTTAATTCTTTATGCACAAGTACGTTTTTTTTTCTAAAAAGACAACGCCCGCATTAGGATTATATCCTGTGTCGCGGGGACTTTACAAACATACATGAAACGGATACAAAGAACACCCAGACTCAGAACAACAATTTATGGGTCACACAAAGTGTCGTCCCATGTGGGGTTTGAAAGTTGAGCAATGGCGGACTTAATGTCACAGGCATGTTCTCCTAGTCTATCTAAGGGTGAAATGTGTGACTAGGTGCACTAGACAATGATGTGTAATATAAAATATATTTTTTAATAAGTTATACAGAAACAATGCTATAAATATACATATGTACATACATATGCACCAAATACATAACATAAGTTACATACATACATAAACCTACATATTAATAATATATAAAACTTTAAGGTTGTAGTGTATCTGCTAGGGTGTCTAGAATGCGAGCTCGTACTTTCATCTTGAACGAAAGGTGGGTGGCTATCCTGATACAATTTTGAAATTTAGATGGCAGTTTGTTTATCCCTTTAGCGTTAAAGTCTGCTGGACGGCAGGCATAGAGCAACACATGCCACCGGCGGACCGAAGGGGAGTAGCCATAGCGTCTTTTCGTGATACAAAATAGTCTGCCATTTTTTGCGGGGGGAATCATCCCCACGAACACATTATCAAACTCTCATACAAAAAAAGAGATTTAGTCTAGTGAGCGGTCTGGCTGCAACTAGTTTATGACCGTGTGGACTTATACTTTGGCAGAGGGGAACGCCTGAGTATGGCTACTCCCTTCCGTGTTGCTCTATGACGGGAGGCGATGAAGTTAGCGAAAGCGTTTTGTACTGCCTCTTTGGTGTTGAATTTTTTTCCTACCTAAAAAATTGATAAATTATGAAAAAAGTAGAAAGCTGTTGGGGCAAGGTCCGGTGAGTACGGTGGGTGCGGTAGCTTTGTGATTGTCTGTCGTGAAGTGCGAGCTCGCGCATCGTCGTGGAGCAGTAATGAGGAACACAGCCAGTTGACCAATAGTCGTTGTTGAACTGCGAGCTTCTCCATCATTGTTTGCAGTTCTTGGAGTCTGCCGTCACCGTTGTGCGTTTGGGTAAGAAGCTGTGATGTAAGAGTCCGGCACTGGTTCTCTAAATAGTCACTATCATCTTCCTATGGGTAATGTTTTTTAAGCGCACTGATGAGGTGCTGTACCCGGGTCCACCCATTGAGACGAACGCTTATGGTTGTCGTACAGGATCCAGTTTTCAGCGCAGGGAACAATGCAATTCAAAATGCTCTCGTTTCTATGCCTATTCAGTAGTGCTATGCATGCTTCGAAGTCTCGCTGATGGTCGCTTAGTTCGTGTGGCACCCACTAACCTAGCTTTTTTATCTTTCCGATTTGACGCAAGTGCTTTAATGTCGTTTTGATAATAGCTCTTTGAAGTTAGTATGAAAGCCCGCAGCAAGCTCAGCCGTAGATTGAGTTGGTTCCGTTTCCACAATCGCCTTTAATTAGTCGTTGTCGACTAGTTACCGGGCCGACCGCGAGGCACGTTCTTCAACTCAAAATTTTCAGCTCTACAACGATTGAAACGAATAATGGACCGTGTTTACACGTTCGTTTATGTTCGTCGTTGTTTTGTTGGCACACCGGTATTTCCACGTAGGAACGTATTAGAAATTTGTAAGAATTTTCGCTTTATCCTTTAAAAACTACCACACTCACTAAACCACTTTCACAAAAACAAATCACTATCAAAAACAATGACTAAATTTTAAAATAACATCGAATTGCGCGCTTATCCACAGATAATTAGATCGGAAGATGCTGGCTCTAAAAATCTCCAACTTCATAGGTCAAGACCTTTTTTAAATTACATTTTCTATCATTACCCCATTTTTTGATTACATATCACTAATGTCACACAAGGTAATCATAACAAAGAAGCGTAGTGTCCTAGTAGAACTACTTTACATGTTCCAGCACCATTAACGACATTGTACAATTTTCAATAAAACGGCACAAATTTGCAAGAACGCGGTGTACAATTTATTGCGTAAAGCAACAGAATCACAAAACAAAATCTCGTATCATTCAATGGTACCAATAAAGCGTCTGTTTTATAATTCAGCCGACTGCTACGTCAAAGAAAATGAAGGGTATTTGCCATACGTAATTTTATGAGGCCTTTAAACCTTGAACGTGAACTCCGGTAGAAATCAAGTATTCGTGGACGATATAAAATATTTTTGCAAAAAGTTTGTTGTTCTATTATATTGATGATTCACAATGCCTATTTTAACCTGTACAGTCAACATGACGTAATGGGGCATTGATTAAAGAGGTGATCTTTATTTTGTGTAACTCTATTTTTCGTGATTTTCATACCAGTAATATTTGTTACAATACTTTTTCTTTCTTTTTACATATGTAGGTATTTTTGGATGAAAACGTACCGTCAACCCCTAAGGTTAATAGTTTTATCCAAACCGATTTTTTCATTATATTCGAACAAAGAAAACGAATTGTGAACAACAAGAATGAATAGGCAACTAAATTGGGCGTAATAAAGAGAGTCGAGGCAAAGAACTAGCCTTTATGACTAATGTAGAATGGTAGACTATAGAAAACGTAATGGTTTAACACAATTTACGGTTATTATTTTGTCATATTTGTAATAACGAATTTGCAATTTGGCGTTTAACGAACACTAAATATCTGTAAATAAATAGATCCGTATTGGAACGTCTCGCAGATGAGAAACATCAAAATTATTTGTGTGAGTCAATGAGTATAAAAGGATCGCTTATAAAAGGAAATAATAAATATATATCACAATTAAAAATATAATTTTATAAGAAGTATTTATTCATACATACACTACTATATGTGATATACATAGCCAACAGCCGGTCCTAACTTTCCGCATCACATATCCGAAATCGCATAGATATATGTACATTGATATTCATATTCACATTAACGTCTAAGACAAAAGGTTTTTTTTTTTTTTTATGAAAACCTACGAAATCAATATATATATAAAATTTATGAATTCGAAAAAAACTATATTTTGTAGTATTTTTTATAACGTATTTTAATTCGACGTTTTAAAGTGGGTCAAAATCACGTTCAAAGATTCCATTACACACATTCCAAGCTAAGAAAAGCATGAGTTTCGTGGACGTTTTTTTTAAAATAAATGGGACCACTGGTCCCATTTATACGGGTTCCTTTAAAAAACTGTCAACGAAACAAAAGGTCTTGGCCACCATTTCCACTAGGAAATGGTGGCCAAGACCTTTTTTTGACCTAATGGTAAGTAAACCATTAAAGTAGTAACTACCGCCGCCCATTATCACGTCTGCAACTCAACAATACAAGTGCGTTGTCGCCCTTAGGTCCTTCCACCAGAATCAAGGGTAGGATGGGTTTGGGCTTCGGTAATTTCACTTCCTCGTAACTAAATTTGTTTAAAAGCGGTTTTAAGACTATGGTATCGCTCCGGTCGAGACGAACCCTTTGTGCCGAAACATGTCTCTCCTACGGTAGACAATTTTTACTTTGACTCCGACGTTAAAAAAACTTTGTTTTGCTCCCATTGTTTGTCTGCTGAAATGGAAACTCTAGACTTCTAAAAATGTGTACCTATACCGTATGTGTACCAAACTTTAGACTTTAAACTATCCTTTTGGATGTGGAAACCCCTGCAGGCCGTCACCCAACCGGGGTTTGAGGCTGGGTGGTGTGTCGGAATTGGACCGACTAAAACCACACGGTGTGCGCCTGTAATAGGAGAGATCCGGGACCTGCTTTAAATATTATTACTAAGACATTATTAAGACATCCGGACCTTTAAAACTATCCCTAACTCAAGCTTTAAGTGCACTCAAATTTTCTTAACTAAACTTAACTGAACATTAGGAGGATTCCCATTAATCTTAAGTACTACTTGCTAAAAATTACAACCGAAAAAAAACAAGTTAAGAAGGCGAACAGTTCATGATTTATTTCAGTTTCGTAGTCAGTTCAGTTTCATGTCAAATTTAAGTCAACAGACTGAATGCTCTATCATTCTTGCAAAACCTTTATTAATGAACGTCTACGTTGATTGATTGCTTCGTTAAGATACTACACCTATTTGTGCCTATTACAGCTAAACAATGTAAATAGTGGTCCGTGAGTTAGCTAAGTTAAGTACCTAACATAGTCTGTTGGGAACATGCAAACGTAGTTATGAAGAATAGAAATAGAACATTGCTATTGAAGGAGTATACCTATTACTGTGACAAAATGCGCCATCACACAGATAATGTTAATATATTATGTTAGAAAGTATTTCAAGATAAGTGATCACCATTCTACGACATTTAAGATAGATGTGTAAATTAACATAAAAGCCAGCCGGCCAGTCGTTGATTAAACAACTTTGACATAATTATGTCTGACAATTTGCAGAGGACGATAAGAAGTTTTGCGATGTGTTACATCTCTCTTCTCTCTTCCTCTCGCTGGTGAAACGGGACGGAAGTGTGTAACAGGAAACCGAAACGTGATAGGCAATGAGATGCAGATGGTAGGTTAGACATCAGATGTTACACATCATTTGCTACTATGGCAAGGCGCGCTCTTTTTTTAGTTACTATTAGTCAGAATTATGGAATATTTCTGTCACACTCAAACCTAGACACCTCATCCTACCTGCAAAAAAGCAACTACTATCTTACTCTGTTTTTTACACCCATTTTCTCCTTGCCTTTCATAAAATATGAGTAAAATTTGTACATCCGTTCTCTGACCTACAAAGAAGCCAAACTTCTATACTTTTAATATATGTGAAATTGAATTACGAGTTAGTTTGTTTGTTATGCTTTCACGCCTAACCTACTAAACCGATTTTAAAAATTCATTCACCAATTGAAAGCTACATTTTCAGCCAGTAACATAGCCTACTCTTCACCGCCATAACCAACACACACACGTTGGCGGAGCTGCGGGCAAAAGCTAGTATGTTGTAAATATGAAAGTGAGTTTTTCTTTGATCGGAACTGAATTGTGACTGAACTTTTATTACGAGAATTGACCTTCAGATATACACTGGCTTAAGAGTTGCACTAGGGTGTAAAATGACATATACACATTATGGTATGTTTAGAAGCAGTAAACCAATTTGGGCCTTTTTGGGTAAGAGTTACATTTACTTAAATAATAACTTTTTTGTAAGATGAGTTAAGCAGAGATTGGAATACAGATGAGTTGCCTTATTAGCTGCTAAATTATATTGTTACTCTTATTCTCATTAATATATATTATAACAGTAGAATACAGGTGTTGGTCTTAGTCAAAGTCTTACCTTTAGGAAATATCAAAACAACATCTGTATGTTGTGTGGGTGTGGAGTGCAAGAGCAAGCGTCTAGGATGCATCAAGTGAGCTCCAAGCTGTCCTGCCATAGGAAGGCGGCGGCGAAGTTCACGGCCGGCTAAAAAAGAGAACATTTATGAAACAAAATATTCGACACAAAATAACTTAAAGCTGTTTAAGAAGGTTATTATTTTCATTAATTAAATAACATTATGGTTATTTAAAGAATTTTATATTTAACTTTTTGATTCATATTTGTGTGCATTTACTTTAATAGATGTCATTTTGATAAAAGCTGTACTATTATTCAAGTCAAAATCATAAGAAATAAAATTGTGTAAATCATAGCATAATTATTTTTTTTATCTATTTAAGTAATTATTTAAACTGTTTCCTTTTTAACAAATGGTTGTATGAGTACTGATAGGTAGCCACAATTTTATTTTTAACTAGCTGACCCGCGCAACTTCGTCTGTGTTTCTCAATAGTAATAAATTTTCTCCGTTTTTGAAACATTCTTCATTGGTGCTCCGCTCCTATTGGTCTTAGCGTGATGATATATAGCCTATAGCCTTCCTCGATAAATGGGCTATCTAACACTGAAAGAATTTTTCAAATCGGACCAGTAGTTCCTGAGATTAGCGCGTTCAAACAAACAAACAAACAAACAAACAAACAAACTCTTCAGCTTTATAATATTAGTATAGATTAAAAAGTTGTAGTACTAGTAATTTCGAATGAGTTTATTGAACTAAAAAAAAAGTAGCTAGTTAAATAAAGTAGTGTCAGTAATTTGGACAAAAAATGTGTCATTATGACTGAACGAAAATATATTACAGCAAAACTTAATACGCACCACTGTCCAACTTATCTTTCGCAAATTCAGCGAAAGATCTGTGTTCTTGAGGTGTGGAATGAGAACTGCTCTCATAATCTTCTTTCTCAGGGCTTCCCATACCTCCGTCTTCACCCTCCATAGCGAAGTTTAACAGAAAAGTTCGCAAGACAATAACAATAAAACAATACACGCATAAGAAGTATAGACCTTCAGTTTCTTACATCATCGACTATATTTGATCACAATCACTGTAATGATATTATTGCACTTTTACTTAACAAAATAAATGTAGTGCCCCTTCAACATGATAAAGCCGACTATATTATCATCCCAAGAAAAAATTTAATGCGGTTTATTTACTAGTTAAATATTTTATTTATGTGGTGACAAAAGTGCGATCGCGGCTGGCTGCTGTCACAATTCAAAATTGATTTTTGACCGCCATTTTTGTACTGTGTTACCAGTCTTCTTTTGCCAAGATTCATTTAAAAAAGATTCATGGTCCTAGAAACTAGAATACTACATTTATTATAAAACTAAAAGGCTACTATTATATTTAAGTAATAAAACTACAGTATTTTAATTCTCTGATGACACAGCCATTAAGAAAAATGTAAATAGGTAATGTCAAGAGATTTTTTTTATTCTAGCAACGTTCGATTTTGAATGTCAAAAAAAATATATGTTCGGATACTTGAATAAAAGATATTTTTGTATCTAAATCACTAATTAATGCAGGATGCCTAACATAATTAAAAATTTAGAAATATAATAATGAAAATATTAACAGTTTCATTTTTGTAATTATACTTTTAATTATTCAGTTTTAAAGCGTGGAAAGTTACAACTATTTGAATTGGAGAAATCGGAACGCCTACAAATATTCGACTTTCCTGCTGTCATTTCATTTGTAAACGTTGAACGTTCGTTATTTTGCGCGATAATACAAGTTACAATGGACGTGTAAATGAAGAAATCGAAGCAACTTTCTCTCAATTGTAAAAAGTGTTTGAACGATTACACACGCACACCTGAAGCCGGTAAAAAAATCGTTAGTGTGAGAGGAATCCTGTAAAAGTTAAAGGTATGTAAAACTGTGTTCGTAAATGACCTTTCTTTGTACTCATGTAATAGTCGCAATTTTCTTAAATTAAATTTCTGCTTCGATTTTCTTGTTCGAGTTTGTTTCTGCATATTGTCAAGGTATATATGATAAGAAGGTAACGTTTTACTTGTGTTTTAAAACGAGTATTTTTGGTTTTTATATTAACCCACTTTCACAAAAAAAAACAGCTGTTATGTCGTCACACCTAATATACAACAGCTGAGTTGTGTGTCATCAAAGTCGAACATCTCTTGAGGAATATATTAAATTTATATAAAATAAACTGAAACTTAAACTGAATTAATAAATCAATATTTCTCTTGGAGGTAGTTTTCCCCTGTTGCCTTTTTATGTTATTGAGATGTTTGAACAGATTGTTGTTATTTACTAGAATTGTTTTATCTTTTTGGGATTTCCTATATTAATAGAGATGTTGTCAATTTACACTGAAAAGTTTAACCATATTATACTGAACTGAACTGAAAAATTTATTAATTTTATAAAATCAGACTAACTAGAATTTTATAATTCTAGTAAGAAGTCTGATTTAAGTGTATGTTTCTCTCCTCTAATATTTAATACACATATACAAGTATATAAAGATATTCATGGTGTATATTTACTTTTATATGTATATGTAAATATATTATTCCATATGTTGCATATCCATAAACATCATGATAACATAACTTTTTAAAACATATGGTTGTTTTGTTGGCACATACATAACTGATATTTGTTCATGGTTTTTTTTAAATTGTTTTATAAACTGGTTAAAAAATTTAGTGCAGTATCTCTGATTTGTGTTTTATAAAAAAGATATTAAAATAAAAGTTGACAATATTTTGTTTAATTTAATAATCAAAACTAGAAATTTTTAATTAATTAACTTAAATGTTAAACTTATACTGTTTTATTTAATTTACCAATATAAGTAGAACTGTAATTAGTTTTTACATAATTTTTAAATTAAAATTACATAAATAGATTATGTAATTTTTATTTAAAAATTATTTGCTTCCTTCCTTTATGTATAAACTTTAAATGTCTTAAATATTATATTCCTATGTGCACAAAATTTGCTTCAAAAGGGGTAAACTATCTTCACATGTAATAAAATAGATTTTTTTATTGTTCAAATACATATAAAGATACATAGCTTGTGGCATGATTTGCAATTTATGCTGGTATGCAATTGTGTGATCCTGGGTTTCATTTTAATTTAAGGCCATATGTTCTTTCTTACACCTTTCTGCTGCTATTTTGTATTGATTGTTATATGGTTAATTTATACATCTTGTGTTTATTATTGTTTGAAATCAATACATTTATACATTTTGTATTTCACTTTCAAAGTCCAGTGCCAATACACTTTAATGTCAAAAACACAAGAGTTAAAAACTAAATCATTGTAGACTTTGGAATACACACATAAAAAACCTATAAATGGATTATACAATTTAGTACTGCTTTGGATAGGTAACTAGATTTATTGTTAATAAAAAAACTCTTATATCAGATGACGCCAGAATGGGGCAGCATGCCGCTTCTTCCACTGAGGTGTGTGTTGGATCACCTGAGCATGGAGGATGCACTGGCAGCTATGTCCACCTGCCGCCATTGGAGAAATACTATATTACTCTATGAGGGACACAAGTAAGTCAACAATAAGAAAAAATATTTAACATTAAATAAATTACAAATATGAAATAGGTCTATTTTAAGATGGAACATGAAACCATAAAAGATTCTCTTATATTTAGTTGATATCGGTCACTTCAGAGGTAATTGATTTATTTAATGTTATTCATTTTTTTATAATGTTATCAATTAATTTCTAAAGAGCATTTTACCCTGCACACCAAAATTTTATCTAGTTTTGTAAATGTATGGTATGTTTGTTTATTTGTGTTTTAGGTTTCCCATTTTCATTGAGTAAATTGTTATGCATGTTGTCTGGGGTGCAGAAAGCAGACTTTTATACCATAATAATATCAAGGGCCATTATACAAAGTTCATTTATTGCTGATTTAAGAATTAACATAAAAATTAAATTAGCATTGGGATAGTGTTATTGTTACAGTATATGTTATGCAAAACAAATTTCATACAGTGGGCTATTGTATGCTATTCAGTGAACCATATTATTAATAAAGGTTTCTGTATAAAAAAAAAAAGTACATTAACAATCACGAATTTTATTGGTTGTTAGGCCGCGTGCCGGGAAAACCCGCATGATCCATAGCAACTGCGATATCGATGGTCACTTTCATTAGTCGTTATTCTGTACTCCGGGTATCTCCGGTATGCAGTATAACTACTGACAACTACCCATGAAAATTAGCATTAACTAAGTGACCTATCCATATAAAGACTTAAGAAAATATTTTTCGCATGCGGTTCCTATGGCATGCGTGAAGAAAAATCTAACGACCAATGAAAATAAGACTTCCCAAGTCACTATTAATTTATCAGACTATAGGTGAACCATCAGGTGAACCGCCTGCTCGTTTGCCCCCCTATACCATAAAAAAAAACAGTGGCACTCCGGGAGTGTCGACAGAAGTGAAAACTTATATACTTATATACAGAGGTGTCGGTAACGGTAACAGTGTCGCCAGTTCAATTGTCAACGAGAAGGACTTTTGAAGTTAGTATAAATAGAGACGCCTATTCATATATGTTAATTATCAAAATACACCTTAATTCGCTGTTTGAGACTAAGTTTATTATGATATGATTAGTTGTATAAGCGATGTTATAACTTGTTATGCATATAGATCATAACATGATTCAGAGATAAGACTCTTTGGATAATTCATGATCAAAATTTACAAACAATAGACATTGATGACATAAAAAGTGTGACTGCCTATTGTCATTGTTACGCGTCATGGTTACTTGAAGAACTCTCAATTTAAATGTTATTTATTAGACACTCAAACATGCAAATATAACCCACTAGGTTTTGCCCGCGGTTCCGCCCGCCCGTATGTCGGGTATCGCGGTGAAAAGTAGCCTATGTCCTTTCTTAAGAATTACAGTATAGATAAGTACCAAATTTTATATGAATCGGTGCGGCTGTTATTGATCCCCCATACAAAATTCCACTCTCTTTTCACCCTCTTAAAGGATGATTTCTGGGATAAAAACTATCCTATGTCCTTTCCCGGGACTCAAACTATCTCTATTCCAAATTTCATTAAAATCGGTTCAGCGGTTTAAGCGTGAAGAGGTAATAGACAGACAAACACACTTGCATTTATAATATTAGTATGGATCAGCACTGAGCCGTTTCCCAGACTAGGTTGAGGTTGGCTTTCAGGATACTACAACACGGCTGAACTTCGATTTTTTACGTGGTGCGACTGCTATTATACTTTTACAACCCAAGTACTAGGCGATGTCGAAGTTCTGTAGATAGACTATTGTCGGATTTTAGGACTACAACGAACTACTAACCGTAACGATTGCCACCGATGTTTGTATGGCAACCGGGGACCAACTGTTTAACGTGCTCTATGAGGCACGGAGACCTACCTGGTTAATATTGCTTAACACGTTGCTGGACAGTACGGCCATTGCATAACGTACTTCGTAATGTGAAATACCGGGATTAGTCGTACAATTTTGAAAAACCAATAATTCGATTCACGACCCTAGCAGTCGGTATATATATAATCATGATCTGCGGCATTTGACAGATTCTACTAAATCCTGACTACACGGATCGTGCTGACATTCCTCCATAGTGGAATTAAATACAAACTTTTTTTATCTATTATAGAAACGAGTCTCAAACGGCCGACTAAGGAAAAATGAACGGTAGTTACTAATAGTTCGCGACTTGTGCATGCAGCGGCGATGGTCACTTTACCGTCTGCTCGTCTGCCCCCTCTAACAAAAAAAAATATTAACTTTTATGCATAAAATCGAAATACCATACCGACAAATTTACATATGAAAGGCAAAAATCGTCTACCTTTCTCGGCGTATAAAATACTGGTGAGACCGTGGTGTAGTCGCGCTGTTCTCTCACAGATGACGCACATAGACAGAGATACGCACACATATAATAAATAAAAGCATATAAATATGAAAACGTAAATGACTACTAGGGTAGAAAGAAAAGCAGATCAGATTTTTAATACCTGCAAAAGTATTTTGCTTTACATTTAACTATTTATTTCACACATCATTAAGGCTTCATTTATATTTGGTACATATTTTATTATATTTTTTAGCGTTCATGTCATAATTGCGCTCAATTAAGCTTTGAAGCAAATAACGCTCCACCCTAACGCCCACACACGTTATTACTTATATTATTTATCTATAGATTCCTTAACCAACCGCCTACGATCTGTGTAGTCTATAACGCCTACGATCTGTGTAGTCTGGAACCCTCGACAAGTGAACTGCTCGCTAATGTTTAGTAGGAATGGATATCAAAGTACAGTAATTAATAATATGTAATGTGATGTGTCTTAAAAACGCCACGTGATTGTTAAAAGCGTTAAGATGAAGACTGCAGTTGTAGTTGCTCGTACATCAAATAAATTGAACGAGAGTCACAGAGTACAGACAGCACGGCAGTAAAAAACCCATAAAGTTAATAAGTCTGCGTTCGCAGACCACTGGCTGTCAGGCGGCGCAATCAGGAATGAATTACTAGATTCAACTACTATTACTATCATTACTCCAGATTGGAAGTGAAACGATTAAAAGCAAGAAACATTAGTATTTCAATTGGCCAGATGCTTTTCAAAATCAACCAATGTATGCAACAGGTTAACTTTTACAATCAGTAAACCTGAAATAAAGTTTCGATTAGTATATCATCAACGGCCTTTAATAGTCCACTGCTGGATATAGGCCTCTCCTTGGAAAGGAGGTTTTGGCCTACTACACCACGCTGGCCAGACGGGTTGGTATAGGGTTTGTGTCAAGTTTTCCTTCTCTCTGCAGTGCTGGTGTCCTGCGTTGTTTTGCACCCTTAGTCGGCTCTTACGACACCCACGGGATGAATTGGGGTAGTGACATTCCGTATTCTTAATCCGTCACTACACGGACAACGATTAGTATAGAAAATTGCATATCACTTAGGCATCCCTGAGGTTACACCAGTCCAACTCTACGATCGGCGAAATTAAATTGAAACGTCAAGAAAACAAATATAATGATTATAATTGAGTATTAATTTAAAAACTAAGAGATAAGTTTTCCTTTACTACTAAAAACCTCATGTGACTATTATTACAATACACGCTTTACAATTTCTAAGGGTAATTGCATATTTGGTTTCGAGATGTAAAGTAAAAAACAGAATTAGTGACAGTGTTCTTACGTAGATCTAGAGATAAGTCAAAGTTGGCATTGAAAAAGGTTACTCAGTCCAACAGAGCGACGCAGTACTGCATTGCAGATGCAGACATGAACTCCATCAGATTTTTGGTCGTTTTAAACCCAGAGACATTACATACTGTGCAGTCTAATTAAATTAGTCATTTGACTGAACCAATCAATCAAGTGTTCAAGTTCTTCAAAATGTTATCAAAAGGAAGAAAAATCTTTTGATAATATTAGCCACCAGTTGTGTTACCATCGTCTATTAACTACTTTTTGTTTCAAAATAAATCAGTGCAAATTGCTGTTCAAAAATACATAATAAAAAAAATGGTGAATTTACTGACCAACACTCGCCGGAAAATAACAATATAACAGCGGCTTTTCTTACAACGCAATACATGTAAACAAATTATGAACAGGAAATGAGAAGTGGTTATTATATTCATTTTTTGTTTACATTGTTTTAACTGTTTGTGTAGTATGCAAAACAAAATATTATATAATTTAGTTGCTGAATCAGCCACGAACATATTTTGTAATTGATGTTAATGTAGCCGCAAAAATCTAAACGAATACTAATATAAAAAATAGGAAAGTGTTTCTGTCTCTCTGTTGCCTCTTCGCGCTTAAACCGCTCAACCGATTTCGATGAAATTTGGTATAGAGATAGTTCGAGTCCCGGGAGAGGACACAGGATAGTTTTTATCCCAGAAATTGCTCTTTAAGGGAGTGATAAGGGGGGTGGAAGTTTGTATAGGGAATCAATACTGCTGCACCGTTCGCCATCAAATTTGGTATGGAGATACTTTGATTTTTGAAGAAGAACATAGTCTATTATAATACTAACTTTTATTAATTCGGGAATCAAATCATTCTCGGAAAACCAGTGCTAAATATTTCGTTCGTTGCTTTTCACCGAGTGAGTGAGGTAACCCGATGAGCAACCCTCCCCTTTCCCTTTAGTTCTGGATTGGAAGTACTTAAAGGGCATCGCACTGTGTCTCTTGTGTAAGATAATCAAGAATATTATGTATTTTACAGCTTTATTAAAACATTTTTGTTACACATGTACTTGACAAAATGACACATCTTCTAGTTATTTTATAAAAGTGACCTTTTTCATGTCACAATCTAAAGTTACTTTTACATTCCATTTTCTATCGAGTTTACGTTCATCAAATATTTAATCATCATCATCAACAGCCTTTAATAGTCGGAGGTTTTGGCCTACTATACCACGCTGGCCAGACGGGTTGGTATAGGGTTTGTGTCAAGTTTTCCTTCTTTTTGCAGTGCTGTTGTCGTGCGTTGTTTTGCGCCCTTAGTCGGCTCTTACGACACCCACGGGATGAATTGGGGTAGTGACATTCCGTATTCTTAATCCGTCACTACACAGACAATATTTAATACTTCAGTAAAAATTTAGTTTAGTTGCCTCCCTTCTGTAATCGTTAGGCAAAAATTTTAGGTTAAAAAATTTAAAAATGTAAATGTAAATTTTGTATTTATGTATTAGTAATTTGCGTTTACCCCTATACTATAAAAATCAATACGTATGACATACCTATTATTTGATTGGCATGTGGGCCTGGCTGCACTGGCCGTGGTCACAGACTGACTAGCCTGTCACCACTGCCAGTACACCTACATTTTAATAAAGCAGTGATTCCATTATATTGCTACGTCTAAATAATGATATCAAACATTTCCAATAATTCCCATATGCGAAGGATTTCGGGATGTATTTGCCGTGATTCCATATGGCTGTATTAAATGAGTTACCTACAAATACGAGTATAATACAGGTGCCATTCCTTACTCAACAAAATGAATATCCAACGTAATATTGTATGGATCAATGTCGTATCCTGGCGTACAGCTATATCTGTATCTCTGGTTATATAAACCTTGTAATAGAGAAACGATTCAGTCTACAAATTGGTCAAATTGATAATGCCAATTATCTGTCGAAAAGTATACGTATTCATATTGAGAAAAAAACTAATTTACGTCGTTATGATAAAAAGAGAATCCGTAATTAGTATAATGAGATGTTTTTATGGAAAAGTTGTTTGAGACTATTTATTCTTATGATGATAGTAAAGTATGGCGCACAAATATCAATATTGATCAGATATTTGTTGATCAATAAAATATATTATTATTAGACAATTTCTGCAAAACATGGTCTTTACATATAACCAAGGGTGGAAGGGCATGAGGGCCATTACCACTCCTGCGCCGGGGCTGGTCGGTGCGATTTTAGTAGATTGTCAAGTTGAAGCTTAATGTGAGTCCTGACTACACAAAATAACCTAGCCTTGAAAGATGGATCCGCTCATGCCTATATCGATTGTTTAGTATTCAAGCATCAAGCTCAGCTTGTTATTTTCTAACAATAATCTTTACGTAAATGATTATTACATTATATGTTATTTTTCCTTAGAGACACATTAAAGTTACGAGCGAAACAAATGAGAAAGAATTTATTCCTGACCCGTATCTTCAGGCGGTACACACGAAAGCTTCACATATACTTAGACGGCAACGAAGACGAACTGGAGAAATTCATGAACCTTGTGCTTCCACAGTAAGTGTTGCATTTAATATTACTGACTTCATTTAAGTTTACTCATTAATGTTACTAGGTCCTGTCTATAAGCAGTGGTCTCTTTCTGTGAAGCTGTAATGCTCCAGAAAGAGACCGCTGAACGGGATCGGGAGAGGGCCGATCCTGAGCGTAGAGGACGTCGGCGACCATACCAGCCGCCGACGGGGCCGCGGGCCGCCAGAGAGTTGGGACCTCTGGTCGCTGATTGAATGTTGCGGTAGGGGATAGGATGGCGGCCTGATTTCATTAAGACGAAATTGGGCCGCCACGTCGCGATTGAGGGGGGAAGTGATTTTCCCCTGGGATAGGGCCTGACTACGCATGGTGTCAATTCGGGGAGGACCTGAAATAACATGGTCCGGGTAAAAAAAAAAAAAAAGGTCCTGTCTATAAGGTTGACAATCGGTTGCACATGTCTGTTAAGTTATTGTGTGTACTTATGGATACATACCATACAGACTAAGTTAAGTTTTTAATTAAGTTACTAAATTAAGTTTTTTAATTTGACACTGGCTGGTAGTATCGATAAAATATGCGTGATGTTATCATTGTTTGCTAATGCATATCCGAATAAAACTCATAAGTATGTACTCAGAAAATTTATATACAGAGATGCATTAGCAGCTGAAGCTATCTTCATCACTACCATTTTCTGATGCTTGTTGAATCTCATCTATATGATAGCAAAACCCTGAACTTACCTTGTTATTCCGTATTTTTTTTTAAGAAATCTGTCTTTCTCATTAATTTATCCCCTCCGGCATTAACAGAAACTAAATCGCCAACTTCAGTGTTTCTTATCGTCAAAATCTGAAGTGTTCGTGCGATAAGCGCAACTAAACAGGTTTTTATTGCTTGACGATAAAGAATCGATTCACAATGACAAACGTCTTTGATCTTGACACCGAAATTTTCACTCCAATTTTCAAGTCAATCAGTTGTTCACCAAGTTGTTTTCTTGTTATTTTGTTCTTATTATTGTTATTCTTGTGGCTGCATAAAACCAAATTGGCGCGGATGCTCCGCAATTGTGAATACAGTACATCGACTGGCCTGTTGGTCTAGTGTTTGGTGACCCTGACTGCTAAACCGGAGGTCGTGGGTTCGATTCCTACCCAGGACAAATAATTGTGTGATGAGCACGATGATTTGTTCTGTCTAGGTGTAATTTATCTATATTTATTTTATTTATTTATTTATTTATTTATTTATTACGTATTATACTATATTACGTATGTATTATATATAATTATTTTTATTAGCAGTCTGGTCATCATAGCACAGGCTTTGCCTAGTTTGGAATCAGACGGCAGTCTGTGAGAAGTTTAAAAAAAAAAACCTAAAAAAATCTAAACATCAAGCTAATTAAACGCGAATATTCAAGAAGCTTCCACAGATACTTGCATATTTCAACCGCATCTATTCGCGGAAATGACCGTGGGCATCGCTTTTATCGATATACTCTGATATTATTAGACCGTGTTTAATCAATACGAATCGTCGTCTGTGATGTAACTGTGACACTGCACGTCACACGATTTACTCGACTCGTAATAATAATATATTTACGAAATAGTCTTGGTATATTTTCAAATAAATAAATCGGTGTGTGTATGCGTTTACTTTTAGAGGAGTGGATGAGAGCATAAATCATGTTTAACAATTAATGCAAAAGGGTGTATTCGCGCTCAGATGGAAAACATTTAAAAGATGACTTATTATTAAATAATAGTCATGTCACAGCAATCAGTCAATTATTTATTGCTGAACACAATCATTTCGTATCCAAAGTGTCATTGGATGCAAAGTAAATCATACCCAGCCGATTAAGGCAATGCAACATTAGCTTTGTAGTAGTACATCGCATTTAATTAAAATTATACAATTTAAAGTTGTCACATATTATGTACCTACATAAAAATTTCTAAATACCAAGAAGCTATTAACTTTTTTAACAATAACTGATTGCGCCTGCTAACCAATTCCAAGAGGCGAAAATCCCAAAACTCGGACTGTGTACGACCCCTATCTTTGGACTGGAGGGAAACTGTAGTCTTTACCGGAGATTGTTCATTAGTAGGGTAATTTTAGTCCAGACTTCTTGCTTGTTAACATATACCCACACCCGAGTGTTAGAGTGTTAGAAAACTTGTATCTGCCAAGTTGCCTTCTATATAAATATGTACTCTAATTCAAATTGTAAGAACAGAAATACGGCTGAATTACGAGTATAAATAAGAGCGGATGATCAAAGGAGCTTTAGTGAATTTACAATTAAATTGGTAGCAGTTGCTACCTAAAGTGTTTAAATTAAGTTTTTATCATTTAACTCGTCGTCGTCGTCGTGTCGTGAATTTTCTGTCACTTTAACTTCTTCACTTCTTTGATTTTTTGTATATATTTCACATTTTTTTATGAACAACATTTATTGCACTCAGATAGAAACCCCATTTAAATTGCATAAAAGCTCAATTTATATAGGTGGAAAATTAGATTGAAATGGGATTTAAAACGGTTTATAATAACAATTAATTTATGAAGATTTAGACGTCTTAGTCTTTTTTTTTTTTTTTTTTTTTTTTTTTATTTCTTTATTTTATACAAGGGATTTTTGTACATAAAAATGACGATGTCAATCCCATAATACCTTATTCTAAGCTAGCTACTACATATTATTATTATTACTACTTAAAACTAAATTATAAAGCATTTTAGCTGCCTCCGAATTTGGATCAGCTAAAACGCTTTGAAATGTTCCAACATTGTTCAGAGTTAATTTAAATTTATTTAAAAATTGGGTTCTTTTAGCGTTATACCGTACACATTCCATAAGTATGTGATAAATATCATCACGTTTTCCACATACGTCACAATTGGGTGACTCAATCTTTTTCATTAAAAATCCGAAACTTCTACAAGGAATGTGACCAGTCCGTAACCTACATGCAGTAACAATTTGTTTCCTATTAAGCCTAGTATCCGTGAACCATGGGATATGAAGAGGCTCACATTGAATACTTTTATACCAAATACCCTTGACTTTTGAACGTTCATCAAAATATTCTTTAAATGTCATATAGGATTTCATTTTATATTTTATAAAAATTTCGGACCAAACTGGTAAAACGTTTACTTCTTCACCTTCTAATATAGCCCTCTTCGCCAATCTGTCAGCCTCTTCATTTCCCGATAGCCCAATGTGAGATGGAACCCACTGAAGTGACACAGTGACACCCTTACTATTAGCTCCGGCTATCCGATCCAATATTTGGTATGCTATTGATGTGCCTTTGCTACCAGTAACACACCGAGTAATATGAAGCAAAGCACTTTGACTATCTGTTAAAATTGCTAGTTTACGGACTCCCAGATCAGATCCATAGCATAAAGCCCGCAACACCGCATATAATTCAGCAGTCATAATAGATATAAATTCATTATTAATTTTGAATAAGTTGTTAGACCTAGTATTAGGATCAAAATATGCACTACCCAGTCCTCTAGTTGTTTTAGATCCATCGGTATAAATTACATAATGCTCATGATACTTATCGTACAATTCCTGTAAAACTTCCTGATGTAAAATATAACCCAAGTACTGAGACTTTGATCCCTCCACCGAGTCCAACTTACTATTAACAACATTTTTAATATTGATATTAGACATCCAGGTATCCAGTTTATACATTTCAAGAGGATGAGATGCAGAAATTTCGTTGTGTTGCACCTCATCAAAACATATAGCCAACAATGGTTTCTTTTTTTGCGCCCAAAATCTTTTACCTAATAGTCTTTTAAGTTCTAATACAAGTTGACAATTAATATTATATGAATAAGAATAAATTTTTAAACAATATTTGTACGATAAATACAGCCTCCTTATTCTCATTGGCGGAATACCCATTTCGCTTTCCATAGTATGAATTGGGGTTGACTTAATAAATCCACCCACAACTCTAAGGGCTTGATTTTGTAGCCTGTCTATCTTTAGCGTATGACAGTTAGCAGCATTATCGTACAAATAACTACCATAATCCAGTCGACTGCGGATAAGGGCGAAGTATATTCTGCGAAGGTGCAACGGGTGTACCCCCCAACCACCTCCTGCTAGAACTCTTAAAGGACTCAAAAACTTAAGTGCTCTCTCACACATCTCATTTATATGTTTCGTCCATCTAAGAGGCCTGTCAAGCCAAAACCCCAAATATCTATAACTACTAACCGGAGCTAATAGGGTATCTTCAATATAAATTTGAATGCTCTCATATCTGCGAGCTCTACTAAAAATACAATATCTAGACTTTGTTGTTGATACCTCTAAACCAAGCTGTTCTACTAAATTAACAAATACATTTAAAGCGTCTTGTATGCTTATCACAGTTTGTTGAATTTTGTTATGTTTAGCAAACAGAACAAAATCATCCCCATATTGACAAATAAATACTTGATTAATATTTTGACATATCCCAATGGTAGCAATGTTAAAAAGTAAAGGCGACAAAGGGTCTCCTTGAGGAATTCCCCTGCTCGTCTGCCTAACCAACACGTCATCTGTCTCATCACACTCTATTTGAAGATGCCTTTCTCTCAAGAATTCCCATAAATACCCACAAATCCTAGTTCCAACATTTAGGTCACCCAAAATATTTATCAGTTTGTTAATATTAACATTGTTATAGGCTCCCTCTATATCCAAAAAGCATGCGACGGTAGGAACATTTTGCGAAAACCCAATCTGAATACTCGTAACTAGACGAGCCAAGCAGTCCAGACATGATTGGCCCCGCCGAAATCCTATTGTATTTGGCGATAATATTTTATTATGTTCGATAAACCATTCTAAGCGTTTAGCGAGCATCACATGAAATGTCTTACACAAACAAGAAATCAAGGCTATAGGTCGCAGTTTGGAATTCGAACTATTATTCTGTTTCGGTATTGGTAGAATTTTAATCTGTCTCCATTGACTAGGGATACAC